CACTGAGCTGTGACACAAAGAACTGCACTAATAATAACAAAGATATAAACAGTCTGTTAAATGATCCCAGTAACTGTCTACGGTATTGCTCTACACTGACTTAAATCTACAGAGTATCTTGAGAAATCAAAAAGATAAAAGAACCCTAATCAAAAGGGATGTACCATATAACATCAAAGATAAAGAACACAGCCAATTCTTAGCAGCCCAAGCTGAAAGGATGGCTCTTACTCCTGGAGTTCTCAGCACAGGACTGGGCTTCAAATTCAATTCACCAGTGAATAATTGGAGGAAAAAAATAGTGCAGCCAAAAGATAAGCTATTAAAATATATTAAACTGGAGGGGCAGGAAAAAAAACCAAACCATTTTAAAAGGTGGTAATTTTTGATATGGTACTTTAAATACCTAAAAAAAAATAATGTCTAAATTATTTTTTTTCATTTTTGCTGCTTTAAAGAGCATCAGTTTCAGTTAGTTAACTATTATATTTTTCACAGGTTTTGGTCCATAACTTAAAGAGAAATTAAATCCTAATATCCTTGGTGATACAATTTTTTGTTATCCTAAATCCAAATTATTTCTTTTCCCTATGTCTATTCAGAGGAAGCTAGGCTCAAGACAAACAAATAATATACAACATGACTACATTTTTTATTAACGTAAAAGCTTCAAAAATAGAACTATACTCCATGAAAGAGACTTCAAAGTATATAATCACATTTGTCAACTATACTGGCAAAGATTTTTACTGTTGTTCATTTATTTATTTATTTTTCAGTTAGCGTTTTACAACCTTTCTATTTACCAAATAAAGAATGAACTTTTTATAGTTATATTGCGACAGAACTTGAATTAATTACACCTGACCGAGAAAGTACTACCATTCATGCTAAATTTTACTTCCACATTCTGGAATGATTTGTACAATTATAAGTTAAAAAACTTGAAAAGTTAGGTCAATTTGATAGGAAAAAAAAAAGTATTATTACTAAAAATAAATTCTTATTTTTGTGGAGATGCTTTTTCAGTCAAAAAATGATTACGTTTCTTCCTGTAGCTGTCTTAAGAATGAAAAAAATATATGCTTTTTTATAAAATTGAAATGAATTGTCACTCAGGACAGGTCAGTACAGAAGAAAAACAAGATTCTACAGGATAAAAAAAGAAATTACACTAAGAAGTCAAAAGGAAATCAGAAAATGTCAGGTAATATATTCCAAGTTGCTAAAAACCAGTGAATTTAATAAAATGCAGCAGTAACCTTTCCATAAAGTAGTACCTAATAATTTCCTCAAATATTAGGCATGACATGTCTTTTTCAAGATTAAAGTTCAAAATTACTTCCTACGTTCTTCAGAGAAATACCTGAGATCCATTTGTGTCTGAAATATGTAAAATCCTTCCCACAATGTTTCAGGCAGTAACACATCGCAATACAGTCTTTCATCTACTTCTGCAAGACATCCTTCTGAGATGACAGTATTCAGCATTACAAAATAAGTAGCAATACATGATCTGTAACAATCTTAAGTATCAGCAGTTTCAGCTAAAGCAAGCTCTCAAGTTGAGTTTGTCCCCTCTTTTATCTGGGAGATTATTTGGCATCTATTCCTTGGCTCATTGCCCAAGTGATCAGACCGCAAAGCAGCTTTTGACGGCCTAGAGCCAGAATAAGCAGTCTTACTGATTGTAATGGTTTTTCCTTCAGAATTTTGATAACCGGAAGACAATAGACAATGAAGGACGTGACATCACCTTTGGTAAATACACAAACATTTCAGAAGCTTTTATTGCTTTAAAGCAATTCGAATTCTTCGGATGTTAGCAGAAGAGGTAATTCTTATTACAGTACCTATTGATACATAAATATCTATTGCAAGACATCTTTAAAACGCAAAACTAAAACCTAAATCTAGCAACAAAGCACAAAAAAGAAGAAGAAAATTGTGCAAGCATTCCAGTGAACACAGAATAATATTATTTTTAAGAAAAAAGTAACTTGTAACGCTATATTATAGAATTTACAATACAGTGGTTCAACCTTGCTTGTTTGTGTTTAGATAAAGAAAAAACCTAAATACATGTTACATATGTTTTACTACACAGAGCCTTGTAGAAGTACTGGTATTTTCTCCAGTTGTCGTGATTTTACATAGGGTTTAGTTCTAGGGTTGATTTTTTTACTTTTTTTTTCTTGCTATGGAAAGAAAAATGCGGATTTACAAACCAAATAATTTATGGTCACAATCAAACATAACTAAATAAACCATTATTTCACACATGTAAGGATTCCAAAGGATACCCAAAATTAGTATGTAAAAATTCCAGTAAAACAAATGATAAATGAAAAATTAAAGGTTTATGTTAGATGATCCTTTTAAAAGAATAAATGTATTTTATCTTTTAAATACTTTTAAAGGCCATTCAGTGTTTTTACATAACCTAGTTCCAGGAAACATGAGAAACAATGTTGGAACAGAACAGATGAATCCATTTTAGATATACTTTAGACGTTTATTGTTAAAAAGAAAAGCAGACAAAATACTTTTGAAATATGAAATAAAACAAGTCAAACAGCATTTTAACACCAATAATGACTGTACATCTCAGTAAAGTTTTACTAAACACATTTAGTAGCATTCCATCTAGCAAATTATAAATAAAGCCTGTCAAACACATAAATGCAAAACCATTAAATACATTTGATAGAAACACCTGGAAACAAACTCTAAGTCACTTTATTACTATTTCTTCATATTATTCGATATTATTTTCACCTGATGTCCAGTTTTAACTAGAAGATTATTTCTATTATATACTTTGCTCCTTTGCCTAGCGTTCATCATCATACAGTTTATTTCCCCACATATTTTTTTTTGCACAGTTTAAAAAATAAGATTTAATATCAGACATCCCCAATTTCCCAGTGGGAATTATAGCAGCAACATTTAATACTTAAAGGTCAAAAAAGCGACAAAGGCCATGTATAATTGTTACAGTCCATATTATCCTAACTGTCATCATCATCACTACTACTGTGAGTCTTAGTCCATTCCCTGTAGGCCTGTCTTTTCTGAAAGCATGGTAAGGGAAGAAGAAAGCAGAAGAATTAGTTTAGAAGTATTAGTTTGTCTGGTAAATGTGTTAATTAAAGCAAACTAAAACCCCAGAAAACAAATTCTGAAGTGACATCCTACTTCAGAACATATCATGAGCACTCAAAATCACCTATATCCCATTCCCTTTATTCAGCATATACAATCTCTAAGTCACTAAAAGAAGTGCATTCCAACCTAATCCAGTGATTCGCTGAAAATGTTAAAACACAGTGACTGCAGAGGGGCCAGTCACCAGACCTGTATGCATAGAAATAATACAAAAAGGGAGAATAATCTTTTTTGCCCTGTAAGAATATATTATGTTATTCAAACTGCTTCACATAGGGAACATGTGATACACTGAGTCTCATACAAAACACAGAAATAATCTCTAGATCCAGAAACATTAAGAACCAAAAACATTAGTACGCTTTACGGTAAGATAAAATTAAGATATCAAACATACTACATCAGAAAATAATGTCTGAAAAAAATTTACGCCATTCATTACTTTCTGTTTTGACTGCCTACAGGGAGAACTACAACCCTGTTTGGATCTTTCAAAACATTTCTTCAAGAGTAGTTCTCCCTCAGGATCATCAGAAAAAACCCAAAATGCAAACATGCACAAATTTAAGAAGCAAAAGCAATGCAAAGTCATTAGAGAAGGCTACACATTAGAGCTGACACTGTTGGCTTGCTAGCATTTGTTTTAGTGGTACGCTTTCAAACAGAAAAGGGGATGTTTTAAATACCAAAAAGAGGAGAAAGATTAGCTATAAGTTTATGCTGGTCATTAGCAGTAGCTTCTAGCTATGCTCTAGTTAAGGTAATACTGCTTTATAACAGTAGCTTTGAACTGGAGAGCTACCTCATTAGAAGGCAGGCAGAGGCATACTATTTGTTATCAAAAAACTTTCACAGTCTGCTGAATTAGATTACGAGTGAATTGTATGGCAAACATAACTGAGATGCACCAAAATAAGGCAATCTTTTTCTACCAGAAAACAAAAGACAGACTAATGCAATGCAAGAGAAACAGAAACTATCACATTGGAACTCAAAATGAAACGAACAGCTGTGACAATTCTCAAAATGGTCTAAAAATTCTCTCCAAAGGCTACTTCTTACTTCATTCTTACTTCTCCAAAAAGGTTATTTCTTTATGACTTCTCCAACATTTCCTTGGCTCACTGTGAATCTGTATTTTAAAAATTCTGTTTATATTCATGCAATCATTAATTACTACTTTAGTTCTTGAGTTTGAATATTTCTAAAACGCAGAGAATAAAAATAGAAACTTTATAAGCTGCATAACAGTTGAATTAATTTCCACTTTGATTTCAGAGTTAAATTTGCTTAAATGGCAACTGAATTATTCAAGTGTAAGTGCTGCTCAGCATATTCTTCATGCAAACAGCATTCCACTTCAAAATTGTTTGTGTTCTTTAAATGGCTATAGTATGACATAAGTACAACTATTTTAAGTGTTTAAAATGCTGTTTTTCATAAAACTGAGGTTAAAAAGTCACTGTTTAAAATGTGTACTATAAAATTACTGAAAAAAAAGCCCCTTTGCATTTACCACCACTGTGTATCAAAAATAAAAGTTAAAGACATAAATCTTTTTAATTGCACATACAAACCTTTTTCTTCTTTCAAAGTGCTCTACATCTCGCAAAAACCTCTATGGATATACTGGTATAAATTATGCTGTCATTCTCAAAAGTTGTATTACAGAAACTATATCACCAAATTGGTCATAAGCCTAAGAAATTGAATGAAACTTCTTGACTATTAGGTGAGGGATGGTAGGGAATTTAAGAAATGGGAAATTTTGTAAAATATTTATTCCAATATATGATTAAAAGTTATGTCAAATTATCTTTCATTTTCTTCACCTGTAACATTTGACTTCCGGTTCCATCTCTTAATCTGTAAGGTCTAATAACTCCATCTTCACCAAAGAAGCGAGGTGGGCGTAGGCTTATCACATCCTCTGATGAATCTGCAACTCTGACAATAAAACAGCAAATTTAAGGTATATGTCAATATCTCTACTCAACTATAAAGGCTCTAAATTATTTTGAAAAGAAATTAAATTTAAGTACTAGTACAGCAATTGTTGTCTATGTATGTACTTTTGCATATGAGCAGACATTGAGCAGATATTCTGTGAATCAGTAATAGTTTTTACTCAGAAATCTATTTCAGAGAATGATTATTAGAAAATCAAATGGCACAGGGAGCACACGCCTGCAATACTTAATAACTGTCTAAGTATAATTTTGAAGTTTTCAAGTACAAAAGACAGCTGTGCCATACAGCTGACATTTTTCTTGCTCTTCTATGCTGAAGAACTTAAAGTGGAAAACAAAAGAGACTGGCAACCTTACGGCAGCAAAAGTGGTGCAGCTGACTAGGAACAGGGTCATTAAACACCTGTATTCAGAGGATGATACTAAATGCCCTCTCAAAATATTTTCTCCTACTTTATACATTACAGTGTGAGATAATCTACCGTAACAGGTTTATTGAAGTGAGAGAATCACAGTACTTAATATGCAATCTCAGTCTGAACAACCAGGACAGATCCTGGCATGACCAGGTAGTCTTGGAACCTATCTCACATAGCAGTAATAATTAAAAAGGCGATACAGCTAAGAAGTCCTCTTTTCCTGTTGTATTTGGAGTAAAAGGAAAAAAAAAAATAATCAGCAATTTCAGTAACTGAAGGAAGTCCGATCTTTGAGGCTTTTAAACTATTTTCTTTGGTAAAGCTAGAAATCCTGAGATTTGATGTTGTGTTGTTTAATGCTATCGGCTGTCTATTTTTTAAATAGCCCCCTATTTACTATATAAGCTACAATATGCGTATTTTTTATAGCTCATCTGTATAAATGACAAAGTTGAGAGATCTAGAAACATTGACACAGAAGTGATACAAAGACACAATGTACTACTATTACTATTGTCTGTTTTGTACCATATCATTCTTCAAACTTATTTTACTTACTTTTTAATACCCTGAAATGTGCTGCTTGCCATGTCTATGATTCCTCCAGTAGGCCGAGCTACTGCTCCCACTAAGCCTTTTCCAACACCTTTGAAAAACCCAGCTGCTCCTTCTTTCTGAGCTCCTAAAAGGATAAAGTGCAGCAAAGCATTACAAAAACATTAGGTTTTTCTTACAATCTTAGCAAACTTAATTCCCATTTAATCACAAATCTTTCTTGATATGCAACTATACAGTCTTCTCCACACAAAGTTCATGTAAACAACATTTAAACTGCAAGTCAGTAGGAATATAAAATCTTGATTAAAAGTTTTATAATTCAGATTTATAATGTCTCAAATATAAAGAGTTTACCATCATATGAACAGTCAATGTCAGAAGACATAAACCTACCTCTTATTGGTTTTGTAACTATTCCTGTTATACCACTGACAAAACCCTATGAAGAGAAACAAAAGATACATTACAAATATGCTTTCAGATTATATTTTTCATTTCTTTTTGTTTACTTCATTTGTGAATAGCCTCAAAAAACATGTGTTGGAGTATTCTAAAATTCACAAGTTAACAGAATTAAAGGCACCTACTTCACAGTTTCTACCTTCTCTTCTACCCTCACATATTCTTTAAATCTATCACTCATTTGTGGCCTTATATTTGCAAAACCAGAATTAAAATAAAGAGTAACATCTCTCTGGCAACTATGGCAGCCTCCATATTTGTTACTCTTGCCTGCGAAAAGATCATAATTTTTATTTTTTTTTTTTTCCTCCTTACAGAAACTAATCCTTTTCCGCCACGAGTGATACCCTCTCTCAGACCAGTGGGCTGTTTATTCATGGCTTCTCTCCTTTTCTGCTGGTAATCCTCATCCATAGTTATCGCAGCTACTCCTTTTGCCATAGCACCAGTGATTCTTGATGCAGCACCAGCTAATCCACCTATTGTAAAATAAAGTAAAATGCCAATGCAATTTATGAATGCCTGTATTGCTTACTGTTAAGTATACTACTGCGATAACACTGAAACTTACCCACAGCTCCCCCTACTAGTGCTTTAAGTCCTAGTGCCATTCCTTCTATAAATTCTTCAGGACCCTGGATGGCTCCCTAAAGGAAAAAAGGACTCCTTTGTGTTAGGCTGCCAATAGTAGTACATGCATTACATATTTCTAAATCTTACATTTGCATTGGAATTTTTATAAAACAAAGAGAACAAGGCTGTAAGGCCAAGAAAGAAAGTGTGAAAATGCCCACGAAAGAACCTGAGAGAAAGACTGTTTTAGAATCCTATTTTATTTCCTGAAGTCTGCTTATTTTAAGCCAAATGAGGAAAAAGATAATTTATTTTAAAATAAGAACCATAAGGAACAGTCTTTTATGAATTAAGTTCAATGGCCTACTCTCCTTTTTATCTCACTTGAGTTTTATGGTGACTTTTCCTAGGACCTTCTCTTTCAATTTTCAATTCAAAATCTTTAAACCCAAATCTTTAAACCCAAATCTTTAAACCCAAATCTTTAAACCCAAATCTTTAAACCCAAATCTTTAAACCCAAATCTTTAAACCCAAATCTTTAAACCCAAATCTTTAAACCCAAATCTTTAAACCCAAATCTTTAAACCCAAATCTTTAAACCCAAATCTTTAAACCCAAATCTTTAAACCCAAATCTTTAAACCCAAATCTTTAAACCCAAATCTTTAAACCCAAATCTTTAAACCCAAATCTTTAAACCCAAATCTTTAAACCCAAATCTTTAAACCCAAATCTTTAAACCCAAATCTTTAAACCCAAATCTTTAAACCCAAATCTTTAAACCCAAATCTTTAAACCCAAATCTTTAAACCCAAATCTTTAAACCCAAATCTTTAAACCCAAATCTTTAAACCCAAATCTTTAAACCCAAATCTTTAAACCCAAATCTTTAAACCCAAATCTTTAAACCCAAATCTTTAAACCCAAATCTTTAAACCCAAATCAGGCATTAATATATCCACATTTTTCACTATAATTCATATCCATCTACTTGTGATGCATTTCATAAAAAGGCAGCAGAGATTTTTACCTGGTAAGGTTCATAGAAGAATGCTTCTACTCCTTCAGACAAGCCTCTTATGAATCCAAATGGATTACCCAAGACATCAAGGCCAAGTATAAGAACATACATCTGTTTAATAGCCTAAAAACAGTTATTAGTAAAAATATTTTAGAAATTACACTAAAACAAAGGCAAACAGCATAGCATGCCCAGATCTAAAAAAGTGAAAGCAACATGAGTTTAATACAACAAACTCAATTATTTGGAAAAGTAGAAGTAGCTGTATTAAAAAGGATCTTACAGTGACTAAATCAAAGTGAAAGCAACATGAGTTTAATACAACAAACTCAATTATTTGGAAAAGTAGAAGTAGATGTATTAAAAAGCTGTATTAAGTCAGCCAAATAAACGTTACTTCTTACAAGCATTTGACAGATAACTGACATTAATGTTCATAAGATTTTATAAAGCAAGCACATTACCTAGATTTCTCTCATACTATAGGACAAAATTTGTTTGCAAGTGTCGAGAAAATTTTGTTGATTGTGACTGAAAAGCACTATAACTACATCTACATGACATTTAATTTGATTTAAAAAGAAAAAAAAAAAAAAAGGTTGAGCATCTCCTAGGAGACTGCAAATTTTCCCTCTGTGAAAAGGAAGGGTCAGAGAACAACAGATAACTCGTTTCCCAATTAAAACCCTGTATAGGTCTTTTCTCTTTTAAAGATGGACCAATCACTAAATTAATACGTCCAAAGAATCCCTTATCATTAATGATGGATGAATAGAAGACAACTAATTCTTTTATGCAAAAGTGTGCCTGCTGGATTCTTTCAACTGGATGCCAGGACCTGAAGAGTACACAATGGCCAAAGAAGGATCATAATTCACGAACTACTAACGTCTAAGAAAAAGCATTACCATTTTGATGCGAACTCTGCTCTTTCAGAGCTGCATTGTACTTGCTTTCACTATCCATTCCGGCAAGTTGTTTTGTCACACCACTTGTCTTCTAGTCATAATTTGGAAACATTACTTGTCCCCAGTATAAAGGCAATAGAATCCAACTAATGAGTAATTGTTTTGTACATGTTTATGTATTTAGCCTTTGTAAAAACATACAAAGCTGAATTTTATTTATTTTCATAGAACCGAAGTGCACAGTAGCGCTTTCAAGATATAAATTTACTGAAATAGTGAAATTTATTTATTCCAACCTGTTTTGAATAATGTCTTACAACCGCTGATTGGAGCTGCTGCGTAGTACAAAAGTGATAGCTGAGCTCAAAGAATGCCAACCTAAAAAAAATAAATGAAAAAATTAAGCCCTTATTATGCCAAGCAAAATAAAATGTAACATACGTAATATTGGTTTAATCTCTGGAAGCATTCTTTACGATCATATTTTCAACCTACTTAAAGACAATATCTTGTACATCTGTGAGGGTGGCCCCTATACTCTTCAGCAGGAGATTCAAGGACTGAAGCGGTATCAATTCATTCTTTCGTTCTTCTTTGTTACTATCTTCTCCACCCGTACTGAGTGAAAAGCTTAAGTGTAACTAGAGAATAAAAATGAGATTGAGAAATAAAATGATTGGTTATTAGAAGTATTATATTTCTACCTTTGTAATCTTTAGAGTATTTAATAATTGAGATAAGGCATTTCTAATCTTGTCTGAAATCAGACTCACTTAATAAAAGAAAACATAAATACACCACATAAGGCAATAAAAAGACAGTGACATTTAAATTCAAACTGAATAACTGCAACTACCTTTAAGAAAACAAATCTTGAAATTGCTTATTCGTGTTTTCAATAAAGACTCCAGAATCTTTTAGCTACAATTTAGCTTGTTAGTTTGTTCCCAAAACATTCTGGTTCTATAACTAATTTCTAAAATCAAAGCAGAATGAAAATTACAACATAGCATGGTGTCCAAGGAAGAATGATAAGCAAGAGTGAAAACAAGTAATTATTAAAAAAAGTTTTACAGGGGCTAAATAAACACTGGAACATGTATACAAGAAAAACCCCACCTGTGCAGACCTGAATAAACCAATGTTTTTTTTTTCACAGAACTTATGGTGATGGTCTCAAAACAGAAAAACTTTCAGGAAAAGTGGTTGAGGGGCTCTGTAGTGCACAAATTTATTCAGCATTTTTCGAAACCAGAGGGAAAGAAGTTATGTCTGTTTCCAATTCTCTGAAGACACCGCAATTTCATTAACTTATAACAGAGCTTAACTATAGCTCATTTTAAAGATACATAACTCATTTTGCAGAATCCACATCCCTTAATTCACAGTTCTATAATGACTTCATAACTGTTACAGACTAATCTTTTATTAGAACCCAAAGCCAATTTAGTCCACCTTATCCCCTCCATGTAATTTTTCTTGTCAAATATTACAGAGTTAATTCAAAAATGAGCTTTTGTTTACTTCGTTACAAAGTGTTCACTTTGTTATCTAAACACATGAAGGGCATTTTATTTTTGTCAAGTCCTGAGCAGTTTTTGTAATAAAACCACTGGAGACATACCTATCAGCGTCTAAACGAAGATCCACCGAAACAGCTACTAAATATATTTGGAATGAGTTAGGCTAAGCTGTTTACATAAAGTTAGCCAAGCATTTGCTGGAATTACCTGCTTTAATAGCAGACCGTTTCTAACACCTCATCAGATGCTGCAAAGAGGTAAAACTCAAACCGTTCTGTGATCTATTTCTCACCGGATGGAGCAGAGATTCTTTTATTAAGAACTGTCACAGAGGCTACAAAGTACCACCACAGCTTTAATGACGTCAGCTGGGCAATAATCAAAAAACAAAGACCAGTAAGCTACAAATGGATGAAGGTTATATTTGGACAAACAGGCTGTTGCTTCCATGTAAGTGTGCACATACTACTCAACAGCTGTACCTGAATGCTTATGGGAATGGGGAAATACCCAGAAGTAGACTTTACTGGAGTAAAAAACAAGACTGCTTTTCCAGTGAGTACGTAACAATAAAGCAGAAGGTGTCATTGCACAGTAATGCTAGCTGCATATGTTTTTGAGAAATGACCTCATTCCCCAATCCGCAACACACTTTCTGCAGACAAACTATATATTTTGCAATGATCTCTTAAGTAATAAAAAGGATTACTGTATATGAAGAAAGTCATCAATAGGAATGAAATAATGAACTTTTAATGTAAATATTTTATAAATATTAATGTAAACCACACAAAGTTAGTGGTAACAGTGAAAGCACTTTTCCATTTTTAGCACCTTCTTATTTTATTTTTGACCCCCTCTATTATGTTTCTTCACTTCCAGTGCTCACTATCTGCACAACAATTCTTCAGTTAGAGAGCAAACACAGGTTGTAATGTGAAAAAGGTATACCTTAATTGGAGAGATATGAAAGTATTCATACAAGCTGATTTGTGACGTATCCATTGATGACACACTCATCAGTTCTTCTTGAAGAGATTGAACATCCTTTTTGAAAAGTTCTAGCTGTGAATGCATTTTCAAAAATATATTACTTTAAAATTTAGGGTATATAAAACTACTGTGCATTTGTCACCGAGATGCAATACATTGACCAATACTACTTATAACCTTTTGATCTTTTTATGTTTTTTAACTTAGAGTCAACATTTTAGAGGACTTTTAACTGGAGTTTGCTTCCTGTCTTTTTTTGTATGAAGAAGATGAAACACATGCATAAAAATACAATCCAACATACATCTATTTGATAGCAAATACAAACCAATTTTTTTTAATGAAAGTTCAAATACCAAATATTTTCAAGTAATGTTTGAACAATTTTTATCTGTGTCAAAAAAACTGGCATACACATATACTCTTCTGAACGTATAATATAGTGCAAAGCTTTTACAAAAAAATAGACTGAAGACTATTTTCTTTTATATAGAAACTAGACTTTTACAGACTCTGAGAAGACCTTCATCTAGCCCTTCTCCTTCAAAAGACAGAGTTCCAATACAAGCTTACCACCTTTTTGGGGTTTTTTTTTGGAAAATCCAAGACACTCTGGCTCCTCTGTTGCTTTGTGGTTGTATCCGAAGTTTTCATTATTTCCCAATCAGACCACCTTGCACTTCATGCTACTGTATTTTATTTCTACTGTTACTATGTGCAAACTCCTCTCATTCTCCCTGTACAGTAATTCAATTCCCTCCTACTGCCCTCTCCACTGCTCCATTTAGCATCAACATGTTGACTACGTCATCTTCCAATTTTATAATTTTGCACAAAATTACTGAAGACACTTTTACTTTCCAATCAACTCCTCTCTCCATTCTTTTTACATTCTCTTGCTCTCATAGGCAGGCATATTTTGGTGATTTCCTGGCCAAGATTTTCCTATATTTATTTTTATTTTTTTAAATAAGATACATTAAGGAAAAGAGTATTACTTTCATTTCCTTCCTGTCTCAGTTTCTTAATTAACTGATCTCTCAGGCATTAATAACACCAAAGAGTCTACAACAGCAGTAATTTCATTCTTTACAGAAGGTTTTGAAGCCTTTTTTGCATAGGATGCAAGATGAGGATAAAGGAAAGAGCTACCGTGGGCAACGGTAACTCTTAAAAACCTCACAGCTTCATGTCAATCCCAGATGCAGCAATTAACCAGTGTTACAGGAACAGAAGACCAAGTTGTTCTTTCCTTTTTTAAATACAAGTTGAATAATTACAAAATTTAAATCTATTAAACAACAAAAGCTTTCTACCTCTTGGTCACTTGGCACTTCAGTCTGCGTAAAGAATTCAACCAGTGCATACAGGAAGCCAAGATCTAATCTGAGATCCATTTCTTGAATCAGCACTTTAAAATACCTACACATGAAACAAAACAATTGTTAAAAGTGTTTTATGAAAACGTGTAACACATAAAACATAATCTAGGGTACTTAGGCCACTTTTGTATTGACTTTCAGGTACTTTTTTTCTTTTTCTGAGGGTACAGACTCTGAGAAGACCTTCATCTAGCCCTTCTCCTTCAAAAGACAGAGTTCCAATACAAGCTTACCACCTTTTTGGGGTTTTTTTTTGGAAAATCCAAGACACTCTGGCTCCTCTGTTGCTTTGTGGTTGTATCCGAAGTTTTCATTATTTCCCAATCAGACCACCTTGCACTTCATGCTACTGTATTTTATTTCTACTGTTACTATGTGCAAACTCCTCTCATTCTCCCTGTACAGTAATTCAATTCCCTCCTACTGCCCTCTCCACTGCTCCATTTAGCATCAACATGTTGACTACGTCATCTTCCAATTTTATAATTTTGCACAAAATTACTGAAGACACTTTTACTTTCCAATCAACTCCTCTCTCCATTCTTTTTACATTCTCTTGCTCTCATAGGCAGGCATATTTTGGTGATTTCCTGGCCAAGATTTTCCTATATTTATTTTTATTTTTTTAAATAAGATACATTAAGGAAAAGAGTATTACTTTCATTTCCTTCCTGTCTCAGTTTCTTAATTAACTGATCTCTCAGGCATTAATAACACCAAAGAGTCTACAACAGCAGTAATTTCATTCTTTACAGAAGGTTTTGAAGCCTTTTTTGCATAGGATGCAAGATGAGGATAAAGGAAAGAGCTACCGTGGGCAACGGTAACTCTTAAAAACCTCACAGCTTCATGTCAATCCCAGATGCAGCAATTAACCAGTGTTACAGGAACAGAAGACCAAGTTGTTCTTTCCTTTTTTAAATACAAGTTGAATAATTACAAAATTTAAATCTATTAAACAACAAAAGCTTTCTACCTCTTGGTCACTTGGCACTTCAGTCTGCGTAAAGAATTCAACCAGTGCATACAGGAAGCCAAGATCTAATCTGAGATCCATTTCTTGAATCAGCACTTTAAAATACCTACACATGAAACAAAACAATTGTTAAAAGTGTTTTATGAAAACGTGTAACACATAAAACATAATCTAGGGTACTTAGGCCACTTTTGTATTGACTTTCAGGTACTTTTTTTCTTTTTCTGAGGGATTTGCCGTTATTGGTGAAGTCTTCCCATAGCAGTGCTTTTTTTCTTTTTCTGAGGGATTTGCCGTTATTGGTGAAGTCTTCCCATTAACTAGATTAACAGATTAACTAGATTAACTAGATTAACACATTCCCTGGAGCCAGAATTGTTTTAATCAAGTAGCAGCATTTAATACCGTATATAGCACTGTTAAACAGAGATTTTTTTCTAAATTACAAAAGACTAAAACTCTTCATTGAAAAGACAGTGAAAAATCCTTGCTTTACTCCGCAATTATATGGATAATAAAGGGGGCTCAGCTTTCATCTAAGTGCTCTGATCTTTCCAAGAATGAGTTGGTGTAAAATTATCTTGCATCATGTCTGCCTTTATAGTAATTCTAAATTTTAAAGCTTGATAAAACATGATTGATAGCAAAAAAGAGTATGTTGAAATACTTACTTAATGTGAGATATTTGTGAATGTCCTGCAGTTCTCATGACAATACTGACATCAGTAAAAGGTTTTGGTGCTATGGAGTTGTAAAATAAAAAGAGATCAGTACAATTTTTTATGTGATATACATACCTTTATATTTTTAATATGAAAATGTCATATATGTTCAGGATTTTCTCAATCCTGTAAAGCTGGATTACATAATGGATATGACTGGCAAACAACTAAATCAGGGAAAAGAGCAGGAGCAGAAAGGAACAGGAAGAGAAGGATGAAATGAAACATCAAAATTCTATTTCACTTAGTTCTGAAAATGTGCCATATTCATTTCAAAGCAAATTAATACTGACATAATATTAGAATTATATCATTTCCCCAGTCATGGAATAGGAATTTCCAATGGCTGATACAAAAACATAAACTAAAAAAAAAATTGGCAGATTTACGCATTCTACCCTGAAATTGATCATATTTATATCATAAACAGCTGACAACTCATTAGCATCTGTACAGAATTACAAGCAGTATTCTTTGTCTCAAATCAGAATCCCTCCCAAGATTACTCTGGTGTTCAAATGACTTTGCTCTGAATGAGTCAATGAAAACTACGGTTTCTCACACAGTATACTGACATTGAGCTCTATGCTCCAAGCAATGGAGAATTCAGAAAGCTATATACAGAACACACAAAATATAAATTTGCCACCTACAACACTTATAAATGTTGCCTCATATAGCAATTTTGATTTTAGACTAGCACCAGCATACATTTATTTTCTGATTACTTATTTCAGATAGGTCACTAGTCATCTATTGCATCCAAGCAAAGGAAAAAAATAAACAACATAAACAATTTATTTGGGGCAGCAGGTAAAAACTGGGTATGTAAAGGTGAAAAGTGAATCCTCATTGCCTCAGAACTCCAAAAGTAATACAGAAGCAGTGCAACAGATTCACTGCCATCAAAATAAGCTACATTTTTATCTTTTCTTATATTCAGCAGGCAACTCTGCTCCTTTATTAGTCAGCATTAAGTTTCAGTTGTGGTCTGAATGCAACTGCCAAAAGCCCATTTTAAGCTTGATCCAAATGTAGCTGTTATGTTACACTCTCCAAGAGCACTGAATTTGTGTGTCAAAAAGATGTGCTTAAGAAGTTATGATACCGAGAATTGAAAGAAATTTTGGGGGTTTTTTTTCCTGACTGTTAACAGTCTAAATGGTTTTAAGTTTATCTTCTACGTAGAGAAAACTGCTTCACTATCTCCAATATTAGTATTTGTGTTATCTGGAGTCAATTAGCTTATACAGGCTTCATCTGATAAAAAAGAAATGGTTAACTTCAGTACAAGCAAGTTATCCTGTCATTTTAGAAGTAAGGATTATGTTAAACTAGAACAACAAACCTGAATCCAGGGTGATGGACTTTGGAGGTTTAATAGGATAGAACACAAAGGGAAATATGGCTCCAGGAATCTGGTTTTGTATCTAATAGGGGTAAGGACAGGACAAGGCGCAGCACATTAGCTTTCAATAGTGAAATATTTTAACATCAGGACAAACACAAGAATTATGAACATTACCTGTAGCATTCCACCAATTCAAAAGCAGAAAAAAAGAAATGATGTTGTGGTTAAAAATATTCTTCTTTTCAAAATAAAATAATTCAACCCTGACAGTCTTGAAAAGCTACTCCAAGTTGGTGGTAATAATTGCTCCACAGAATTTTTGCACAGAATTTGATTTCAAAAGCATATGCAAGACAACAAATTGTATCTATTTTTTTTTTTTGGTAGTAAAGAAAACCACCAGAAAAAGCATGGAAGATGTATGGTAAGCATTTTTCCTGAACGGTTGCATTTGTCTGTTTGTTTGCTGTCTTTTCCAGAATCATTTAAGTAGTATTTCTGAAGACTGAGAAGAACTGATGTAAAAGCTAATGAGTACAATTAAATTCGAAACATGACAAATGCAAACAATTCCAAGAATCAATCCAAGTTTCCACAAAAATTGCTTTTTCTTAATAAACAACTTACTGCTTTTTGACAAGACTCACCTGTATCCTGTAAATTTGAATTCTGAAAGACTTCTGATGTGCAGATGAACTATATTCTACTTTTAAAGCTGGCAGATAATTCCTTCTGATAGGAATCTCATTTGGTTGCTGAATCTTCATGTTCATTCCATTAGGAGTTAAACATACCTATTGCATTATTAAAGCAAATTTAGTATGCTATGTGTTTCAAAATACTGCTTTTTATAATATGCTTTAAAATTTACACTGTTCAGTAACACTGTTATGATAGCTCAGCATTTAAAACCTACAAAATTTTTAATCATGTCATAACTTTCATTTATTTAAAAGAATCAGATTTTGTCATAAATCTCAATAGAAGTAACACTACAAAATATTGCATTATTTGGGGGATTCCTAGTGATTAATAAATGGCTTTCGAGACAAAAGTCAGAGTAGTATAATATAGCAGTCTATGACTGAGATAAAAATTGGCTCATTTACCTATCCCATATTCAATGACCTAGAACACAATTGTAATGAGTATCTAGAATTTAGCTACAGACAAGGACAGCAGGATGTGGAACATAATGTACTTCTAAAATCCAGAATAACTTCTGGAATGATTTTTTCATATGTATGCGGTTGAATGACACAACTGAATTATCCCACAATAAGGCACCTGAAAAAGACAAGATTTTGTGCTAAAACAAACAAACCAACCCATCCAAAATTAACACCCTGCCCATCTCCTAGGTATAACCAATGAACCAAATGCAAAGCTTCCCTACTGTAGCCTTATGCATATTTAAAGCCAGGACCTTTAAAAACATGACACTTCAATTTCAAAGCTAGAGGCTAGCAACAAAAAGTCTACAGGAAGCTATCACACTTTTGTGTGTTTTTTTCCCAAAGATTTTTCTTCTAGACAGAGATAAAGAAGGGTTTTCAAGCAGATTTGGTAAATCAATCATCTCATTTTTCACTGGAAGTTTCTACAAAGATAGAAAAACCTATATATTGTATTTTTTCTGTGTACACATGTAAACAGAATTAGAGAACTATCGGTATTACCAAAACATTTGATTCCAACTCAATAATCTTATTTTCTGAAGGAGTCAGCTCACTGTAATCTTTGAATTCTTGTTCTAATTTATCAGTCTGCTTAACACTCATTGGTCTCCATCTCGACTTCTTCTTGGGCTTTGTCTCCCAGACCACATCAGAACTACAAAAACAAAACAAAGGATCAAGAAAGAAGGATTACCTATTTCAAAACAAGTTTTACCTACCGTAGTATGGCTTTTAATAGGTTATAACTCTGGAATGAGAAAGCACATCATAAAGCAGTACTGTAGTAAACAAAGTGATCAAATCACTCGCTGCTTTCTTGGTACTAAGTGGAAGCCAGTCATAAGCAATCTTCCCTAAGGGGCACTGGACTCTTCTCTGCTTGATTTCACTACTTCCGTGAGAAGCTCTAGTGCTAGATTTCACCTTACAGCCAAATTGAAGGCACAGGATAGGGCAAACCCCAACACTATGAGACAGGTGGAGGGTATTTCTTCTTTCCACAACTTACTCCACAGCCCACAATTACATAGCTTTCCAGACACAGTCCCCTAATCCAATCCTTTCTAGCTACATCTGCGTTTGTGTTCAGATATATCAATGGCAGAACCACAAAAAAAATAAGTGAGCTAGAGGGCAAAACAACAGCTACAGTATAGAGTACTACCCTGAAATTGACGGGAGCTTTTCCTTTTCCCCCATGCCTCCTCGCCGTGAATGCGCGTGATCCCAAAACTAGCATGGTGAAACTTGTTTCTGCATCAAGTTAGATACAAACTGCCTTTTCTGTACTTTTTATAACAAGCCATTTGCAAGTGGGAGTATTCTTGAGTAATAGGGCTTTCTTCACCATACCCAAGGAACAATCTCTTATCCTCAGAAAGAGCTTTCAGGAGCTTCTCATCCACTCAGGGTTCAACAAGTAAACAGTTAACAACTATAAGCACTACTAGACTACTGACTATGGATGACTACTTCCAAAAAATACTGACTCAGTGAAATCCCAACAGTAGTTTGAATCTAGGCAATTAGCTGTTACTTTTAATGGAGTGTTTCCACTGTCCAGATTGTTTGAGAGCTCAGGTGAAGGCAAGGATTGGGATTTTTTTTGTGAATGACAGTTGTGAATACATGAAGTATATGTGTATGTAAAGTTTTACTGGTTTATTTTGTAGTACCATGCAAAGAATTAATCAAGAGAAAACACCCTCACTCTAGCAACCTCATGGCTCTGAATATACAGAAGTGTGTGGATTATGGCAATGAGATACAAACGTCCCTTGAGCATTCTAAAAAGTCCCTGTTTGAATACAATAGCACACATTTCTGAAGCATTACATAGTTTCTTTTCTGCTTCCCTCCGAAATGTTATAGTAGAAAACCTAAAATATTAGAGCCTTGGAGTCACCATAATTTCTCTATGAAAACTACAATGTACTACAAGCTGCTACTGCATCAAAATTTTCAAGACAGAATTCAGCAACATCTTTCTGTAATGAAGACAGAAAAATCCACTGACACAACCTACCCACAGACCTTACTCCTTAAAACTCTTATTATCAGTTCCCCAACTACATGGACAGGATACACTTCTGTTCCAAGTACTGGGGAGTCTGCCACACAGAGTTACAATTATGTGTTGCAAAATCATGTACATCCAAATACAGAAAGCATATGCATTAATATAAAGCACAGTGAAAACAATTTTTTTTTTTTTTACAACAGGAAAACATAATAATATAGTTCTAAGTGCTTTTATCCAGACCTCTTTTTCCTCTTCCATTGCACCCCAAAATGAACTTCAGTGATTGAAAATACCTGAAGTTAAACATTCTAGACTATTACATACAAAATAAGTTACCTTGTAATTCCAATGTAGGACACCTCTTGCCTTGTATAATTATTAACCAATGAAATTCCAACATCTTGCAAAGACAGAACTATTTCTTGTTCTGCTAGTTCTGCTTTTACACTTTCATATGCCAACTTAAATACATTCTCATCTTCAGTGATCAGGACAATACGCTGCAAACCTTCAAAAAATGACATCAAATAGACCACTTTTCTACAATCCAGACTGAGTATGTCCATTTTGTCCTACAAATAAGAGAGGAAAAGTTTTTACAACTCTATTCATCATTCTACTGCACATGCAAATGCAAAAGTCTTAGCAATGTGAACAACAGCACAAGACATTTTTTAAAGGTACACAAAAATAATAAAATTTTTAATTATGGATTTTTACGGCAGTCTCTCACACACACATGCTTTTGAAATGAAGACAATACTTATTGGCACAAACTCCACTAACACATAGCAATATTGTTACTGTTCTGTGACTGAACCTCATATATGAGATTGCTGATCATATTCATTACGTATGCAATTTCATAAATACACTGATGAACAGGATAATAAACTAGACAGCATTGAAAGGAGATTTAGATAATAAACATACCTCTTTTGGTGTAATTTCCTCAGTTCTATTTCCACATTTCCATTTCAATTTTCTAGATCCTGCTGGATCTGCCCAAGTATACAATACTGCCTTATTTGGCTGAAGAAAATCTTCCAATTCACTGAGGGAGCTAGAACAAAAGAATATTAAATTAAAATGTCAATGAATATTTTGCGTCAATGATTTTTGCATTCTAGAATTTCAACAAGAACACTTCAATTACTTTTTCACATAACAAAAATGAGAACTTAGAACAACATCACGCATGAAAAAATATGCACAAAACCACCTCAGCACAATAATAAAAACAGTATTTATACTGTTCTTTATATACTTCAGAAATAAAGTATACACAGAAAATTCTAAATATTCATTTTCTTATGAATAATCACTTGTGATTAACAGGGAAACATTAAGTAGAGAAAAAAAATAATCAGACAGTGGTATTTATAAGCTAAAAGAAAAAGTCAGGATTTGTGCTGTCTAACTCCAATATTCCAAGAGAAGAAAAGCATGTTCAAAATCCATTGTTGAAAAGTTTTCCCGTGTATGAAGGGAAAAAAGTTCAGTGTTTAGTATCTGGATACAGTGGGTACTTTCAGACAAACAGATTTTAAACTCCATTTCCCCCTCACAGTTAAACACGGGCAGACTTGTCTTCTACAGTGCTCTGAAATGAGCCTACCACAGGAGGGGAAGTGGAGAGGGAGGTGCTGATCTCTTCTTGCTGGGATCTAGTGATAGGACATGTGGGAATGGTTCAAAGCTGCACCAGGTGAGGTTCAGACTGGACATCAGGAAGCATTTCTTTACCAAGAGGATGGTCAAACACCAGAACAGGCTCCCTAGAGAGGCTGTCAATGGCCCAAACCTGTCAGTGTTTCAGACAGATTTGGACAATGCACTTAATACCATGCTTTAACTTTTGGTCAGTCCTGAACTGGCCAGGCAGTTGGATTAGATCATCGTTGTAGGTCCCTTCCAACTAAATATTCTATTCTATATAGTTCATTACAAAAATTATACATATACTATTAAGTTTACACTAAGGATGACCAAAAGCCAGGTAAAAAAATAAAAAGTACTAATCTTTACAGATAAAAGCTGGAGCAAACAACTGACTATTCTTCAGACAAAAGGAATGTACAGGTGCAAGCTTAATTTGACTAGCACCTCTTCCACTTTTCCCTGATTGACTGAAAGGAAGAAAAATAAATAAAAAATGGTAGAGGCTGCTTGGCTTTTCAAAGGAACAGGTAAAAATGCTGGAGATAAGCTTACACTTCTCAGCATTGTACAGTATCTGCATACAGCAGCAAACCATTACAAAGACATTCCAGATTGAGAAGGGAACCAGTACAGCTGCATGCAGGTGCAGAACCAAATGTTCACTGATTGCAGATAATTCATATTTGTTAAAATAATTTTAGTTTTGGTCTGGCTTGAAAAAATTTATGTAACTACCCATTTTTCAGTCCATTCCCTCATCTCTCCCATACCTTTTTAATCCATTCTTTCAGCTAAACATGAACTGAATATGATAAAACAGTAGAAGTCTCAAATCTAGTTAAACTCACAACTTATTTGCTACTTATTCTGCAAAGTCAGCTCCTGCACAGCTCCAGAAAAGCAAAGTACATACATCCTTTGCCCCCACCAGGAATGTCAAGAAATGTAGAGGGCAAGGCCACAAAATTCACGTAAAAAGAGACCAGAGAGCCTTTTTTCAATACCGTGTAGAAACAGGTACTTAACGCCACATAATGCTACTCTGTTAACAATTCATTCTCTTCTATTTATAAAACAAGAGATTTTTGGGGTGCTCTGAAAAAATTTGACGGCCATTTTTTTAAAAATTGGCTTCTTCAGAAATTAGCACGCTTACAATACATGAAATAACAGTTCACATCTCCATGTAGACATCCACACTAGAACTCTTCTTACATACCTTTGTCCATACTCAATAATTTCCTCTTTAGTATGGTTTATCAACAGAAATGGAGCTGCACCATCATGGTAATTAGAAAAGGTAATCACTGTAGAATGTTCAGTCAGATTAACATCCACTGTAATTCCTCCAAGCTATCAGAATTAAAAATTATAAAATAAATAACAGTGGAATGAAATTCTAGTAAAACAAATTTAATTTAAATATATTGGAAAACTTCTACACTTATAAGATAAAAATGTCAAACAGTCAAACAACCAACCAGTTTTAACCTGTCTTTAAAATATTTCCCTGATCCTTGTTAAGTATCAAACATTGAACTTAGTAATCAAAACTACAGACAAGTCCCGTACTGTCAAAATTTAGGATGATAGTAAAGGAATCTTCCTTTAGCCATTCATATGTATTATTGCCCTCCAAAACATGCTACTACCAAAAACACTCATGTATTTAAAAACTACTGCTATATGAGAATATATGCAACAGAGAAGTAAATGTGGTGGAGTCAAAGTGCCTTGTCAAAGTCACTTAGTGTCACTTTAGAACTAATGTAAAGACTTCCCAGCCTCAGCCAGAGAACAGTAGCAAAACAATCTGTTTCAGCTTCTGTAGATCTGCTTCGCAGAGAAGCACTTAAAATCAAACACCTACTTATATCTGTGTATATACACACAGGAAGGAGAGAGCATAAGACTAATACACTTGCACATACAAAATGTTTCCCTAGGTAAGGTTTTGCAATACTTCATTGATTGGGAAGACAGAGTTTTGAGAATGGAAATGAAATATTTATCTTGTTTTACTTAATTTCCAAGGGCAACCATTTACCTTGTTGTCCAAATGCAGCAGCAGACAGTTTTCTTGCTTATCAAAATTTATCTTCTTTGGGGGGAGATCAGAATTTTCAACTCTAACAAGCAGTTTGTTGGCATCATTTTCAGGCCAAAAGGGAATGCACTAGAAAAATAATCAGGTATTTTAAAGTAAGAAAGAAAAACTACTTGTTAAATGGTATTCATTTTAGCCTAAAGTGGAACTTCTACTAAAATTATACCCAAAAGTATAGTGAGTCGGATCAGAAACTCTATTAAAAAACCTAAAAGTAACTACTTACCTGAACAAAATAAACTGAAGTCAGAAATAGTTCAGGCTACAGTGAAGAAATTGAGTTAAGTAGCTAAAAGCAAAACCAGTAAGACTTAATTTTCACGTGAAGAAGTAGATTTAAAATGGGTAATGTATATGGAATCCAGAGTATAAAGCTGAGCATGGCTACAACATCTAAATGACCAAGCTTGTTACAAAAAAAATAAATAAGCCAACAAAAAAAAAACCAACCAACATTAACAGACCTCTTGCAAATAATCAGTGACAAAAAGGTGTATCAGCATAAATACACTCCATAGTAACTTGAGTATGCAAGACATCAGCATACTAGCTGTTATTTTGAAATACTTTATATATATATGCAAAAAAAATATATACACATACATATACACACAGACACACATATATGAGGGTATAAAATATAAATAAAATATGAAGCATTAGGCAACTAAATGAGAGAGCACATTCTGCTATTCACATCCACAATTGAAATCAGAGCCAGTCTAGGTTTAAAAATTCCACAACTTCTATTCAATAGTTTATACACCAAATAGGCAAGACACAGAGGCAGGGAAGGCAAAAGTTTTAACTGAAACTAAAGAAAGTTGCCAACTAATTAAAAGAGTCGTGCCATGAGAACAAGCTATGATTAACAATGACTATCAACCAGAAAGAGCCAAAGTCTGTCTAGATAGACCAGTTTTCCTGCAACATCCAAAAGTTCAGGAGTATCTTTCTCCAACATGTGTTGAGAAATGAGACGTTTATATTTAATTGTGTCTGAATCCTAGAATTAAACCTTCAATGGTGAAAGACTAGTTCACCAACTTACCATGCCACTAAGTTCCCTTTCCCATTGTTTCTCACACCACAGGAAGCAGGAAGACAAAGGAAAAAAATATAGTTAAACAGCAAGATTGAAGGTGTTATCTACATCAACATGTATCCTACACAGGAAATTTAAATTGTGTTGTAAACTAGCATATAATACACTAAGTAAGTCTCAACATGGAATTAAGAGAGCTCAAAGGAAATTCAAGGAGAATCCGTCAGTAGTAAATGAAAGTTTAAAATCAAAACCGAAATAAGTAAAAAGAATTGGCTAAACAAGAAGTTACAGAATCAACCACAGAAAACTGAAAAATTAACAATACTCTTTAGCCACAGAATGTGTCACAAAATGATGCTGTTTCCAAGTGTTTTGCCACATGCTTACTAAGTGCTTAACTAGATGTTATATTTATACAACAATCTCCATTCCATAAGAGGATCTTTAATTTCTATTTAACAGTCTCATTTATAGTCTTGGACAAAGCTTTCTTTCTTTCTTTCCCTAAGGATGTATGTTGGTCAATTGTCTTGAGCTATACCTAACTTGAAGGACTGTCCTTGGCAAGCCATTTCATACTAATCACTGTCAAACAACTTCTGTTACAACCTTTGAAGAACAATGGATTTTTCTAAAAGTATTAATTCAAATTTCGGATAGATTGACTGCTTTCCAGACAGGGAACATGTTCAAGAGGATCTATACAAGGATTACTTTTTGTCCTGAGAAGACAGGCTATCTGACACTAAGAAAGATGAGTGGCTAAAAAAGAAAAGCATAAGGAAGGACTCTGATAAAGTTATAGTGACAAAAATAAAGGAGGAGAGGGGAGCAAGCTGAGATATGAATTAACATTTCAACGAGCTTGTCATGCAGATCAACCCAATGTAAAAGTAAAGTGAGAAGTACTCAGAAAAGTCACGGGCATTAATTAAAAAAAAGAAGAAAAAACTCTAGGTTAGCTGGATAACAGAGTTCAAGATCTCAAGAACTCAAACAGATGGAAACTTGTTCCTGGAAATCTGACATGGATGCCCAAAGACAGATCGATAATAATTGAACTTTACCTAGATTTAGAAGAGAAAAGAAACACACTGGAATAAGCAACTGTGTTACAAATGAACAACCATGGTAGACTCAACTGTCATAACACAGATTTTGAGACACACGAAACATGAAGAAGTAATAAAATCTAACTACATTTTCTCAGAGTAAGAAGTTAGATATGAAGTGGCCCGTGCCACTACCATGAACCTTTGTCAATTCTGAGCTTTATCAACCAGCTAGGTGAGGAACCATGCACGTAAAGAACATAAAACTATGCAAAGTCAAACAAAAGTATGGTTCAGAGGAACATAAGAATATTAGGAACAGGAAAAATGTGTAGGCTTATGGCAAACAGCCTATTCTTGAGTAAAAGTAAAGAAGCTTTTCTGAAAATAACGAAAAATATTATAGGAAGCTGAACCATCTTAAACATTTATAGATCTAACATTACTGTATACACTTAAAAATCAATGGAACAACAACAACAGAAAGCAAGCAGAGTAGTATCGATTTCATAAATTGAAATAATGGTATCTAAATGGTATTTCTCTTCCATAATCATTAAAAATGTAACGTACACTTAAAGAGAATGAGCACAGGTACCAAAAACATAACAAAGATCTGCTTATGAATCTGATTTACAATATTTGGTATTTTAGTTTGCAAGTTTTTTTTGGTTACCATTTGAGTATCTACAATGCTAAAGAAAAGCAACAAGGCCTCCAACCGCGCTATTTGTTAGGCCAAACTACGTGCTTTGTGATACGCTCTCTTCAACTCACTGGAAGGGAAGGAAGGAGATTTCACTCTTCACAGAAGGCAATATGGATCACTTTCAGGTTTCATAGACTTCCAACACTATCCCAAAAAGGCATTGCTTTTCCTACATGTCCTGAAGGAAGGCATGATGCCCTCAAAACACACACAAAATGTAACTGTGGGATACTGCAGTGCAAGCAGCCAAGATGCACCCCAGTGTGCAACAGTCTAGACCTCTGCAGCATAGACAAAAGCCCAAAAGCCATTTCAGCTCCACTTGGCCTGGGGACCAGTGATCCCTCTCTAGAAACGATGCATTAAGCACTATAAAACAGCACTGAGACTACTCCCAGAAGAACAAGAGGGAATTTTTTCCAGTATGAAAGTATCATGACACGTACCAAGTCAGCCAAACCACTCTATTAGATACCACTGCAAAAACTGAAAAGAAGCTTCAGTGCCACTGCACAGCAAGATAATATAGTAACAGTACAGGTCTGTCTCATACTATTTATGATACAGGGAACAAAGAAAACATTCCAAAGTAAACCAGCTTTACAGTATGTCCTAAAGCAACACTAAGAAAAGGTAACAGGACACATATAACTTACTGAAAAAGCACGATGTATTCAGACATTGTCCTTGAACGCTATGTATGCATGGCTCATATTTTCCATCAATGAGTATTCAAAACATCTTTATTTTTTTTCCCTCCTTAGAGAAACAACTCGGAATAGATTCCATTATAAGTTTACCTGTTGCAAAACAATAGGAATCCACTTTTCCTTGCCTTCTTCAGCTACTTCCAAAGTGTATTTGCTTCTATTTGAGATCATAAAAAATGGAGTGAAAGTTACGATTCTAGTAATATTAAAACTGCTGTTGTTTATAGTGACACCAACCTGTGAACAGAAAGACATTGTTAGAAGTATGATTTTATTTTCTTACCTCATTCATATTCCCTGAAAGTAATAAATTTGAAAGATAAATTTAACTCACTTGATATTCCTTTTTATGACTCTTGCATTTCACAGAACCATGACTTCCAACAGTGTCCAGTGAAAACTGATCAGACAGTTCACTGTCAGTTACCATAAGTTGCACCTATGAAGAAGCACCCTGGGTTAGTTTTCAGTTTACAGACACTGACTATATTTAAAAACATATATAAAGTATGCATATATATAAACATGAGTGCATACTGGAAATACTGGTGTTTTTATTAAAAAGTCAAGATATAACAATTGCCAGTATTGTCTCATAAAGGTATCTTCTACCACCTTTAGTTATAAGGTATGTGGAACAAGCATTCTAAGTGTAAGATACTTCAGAAGAAACAATCACATAAGAATCCTTTCCAAAACTTATCACAATTAAAATCGCAAAGACAAATCAATACAGTCTTGTAATCTCTCTCATATCCTTCATCTGTCAGCAATATTCAGCATTAAAAAACTCACACAGCAGACTCAAGTGGTAAGCTGCATCTTAACCTTTGCTTACTAACAGCTCAGACCCAATCTACCAACCACCACTGCAAACCTTCATTTTTTAAGTAGCATTCATTTTTTAAGTACCACAGCTTTATTTCTTACACAACTTTTACACCCACTTTAGAATAAAGATCTTTATTGATGCAGTTTAATGGAACAAAGGGAACTCTTTTATTTAAGAAACAGTTCTCAGTGAACTCTATTCCTCTCAGAGATGAGGACCTCTTTCTTAATAATACCTTTGATAATGTAAATTTCCCATCTCAAGCATATCTGACACCAAACTTAATTAAAATATTCTGCCTTCAGACAGAGAAATTGTAGGTTTCATGCCTTTTACAGAGCATAGCATAGTGTAAATAACTTTCAAAGTGTAAAAATGCTTTCATACAGCAACATAATGGAGTACAGAGCTGTCAGGTTTTTCAAAATGTAATACCTTATTATTTTGGAGGAAGTTTTTGGGCTGGAAAGAAAAAAGGAGCGGCTTCTTGTAATCTGGAGGATGCTTGCGGTGAATACCATCAGCTTTGTACTGCAACATTCGACCGGTTTTGTTTACCATCCAATACGGACTGTGAATTGCTATAACCACCTGCCCAGTTGTGTAGGTCACATGGACAGCAATATCCAGTTCAGTCTTATCCAACTCCGTGATGCAGTAAAACGTCGTAAAGCTGATTTCTGGTAGATTGCTTTTTATATGGTACTCACTTTTCCAATTTTGATCAAGATAGTTAAGCAAATGTAAATCTAGTTTTGTTTGATCCAAGACTGCATTGTGAATCTGGGCTGAACATCCCTCTTGTAGAGTGTCATATTTGTTCCCATCTCCCTTTAAAAAACAACAAACAAACCCAAACAGTGTATATTTACATGAGTCATACTCAAAATTCTTATCAACTTCTATTTTCTAGCTAGCTTTGAAAATTAACATGCAAGTTATATAAGCATTTTTTAATTTTGCATAACATGCTATTTAACTATGCTACATTCCTAAACAAACATTTTAAAGAAAAAAAAAACCCTATGCATGGTCATTGATATTTAACACCAAAAGAAAAAATCTGTCACCAAACTCAAATACGTAAAAATGCTTAAATAACAGATTTCCTCAACTCAGTATTTTTTTCATTAAATTTAAACTTGTAAGTGACAGGCAGAAAAGAGCCTGTTACTTCCATGCATTTGGTGGAGGCCACAGCCTGTAGCTGTAGTAATTGTGCATTTGTGACAAATTTCTATGATTAAATTCTACTGCTTCAGTTGAAATACTAAATATTAAGACCATCTGAAAAAAAATGTTTCATGTCTCTCTATTATTTCTATTATCCTAAGTCTTCATTAGTAAGCAGTGGGAAAAAACCATAGCAGATACACAGAATGAAACATTTAGTGCTGAGAAACTGTTCACACTGTACATGTTTTAGGTGTTTTACTTGAGACTGGCTCTCATCTGACCCTGGAATACATGCCTATTAACAGTCAAAGTGCACCTAATCATTTTATTTAATCTAAAAAGAATATCAAGTCTGGCACTAGGCTTCAATTCAAGCTAAAACTTAGCAAAAAGGCAGGCCTGTGAGAATTTCTTAAAAGCATGCTACTGCCAGAAGTCAGTGACAGCCTATAAAACACTACTGAAAGCTGACCCACTTATGTCTCTTGAAGCAGTCGTGATTCACAGGAACAGCTACGCTGTTTATGCTTAAACTGCACTTGAGCAACTGACAGTGATTCTCTCATGGAGCTAAACTATAACACTGTTTTACTTTGCATATGCATCTAAATTATGACTTACTGCTAATTATTAATACCACCACTTATCACATTCTGGTACTGTGCCATTTCTGTAGATACAGGCCTGCCCTTACAAGATCTGTAAACTTTCTTCACAAACACTGTAATAGAAGCCCTTTCTTTCAATATCCATTCATAAACATATTTCAACCAGTTGGTCAGCTTTCGTATCATAGGTGTGAAACACCACAAAAAATTTAAACATTAAAAGAATCACCTCTACAGAGTAAGTTATTTGGTAAGGAAGAAGATTGCGGAGAAGAACTGAAGGCCATAAATGAACAACATATGGAAAATCCCATTGATCTTCTGTACATGATGAAGATACCACTGTGTCTTTTACAGGAACAATATTGATGATGAGTGAGTGGTTAGTTGACCTCACAGACTGGCATTTCCTTTGTAACAAACTGTCAACATTTTTCATGATTTCATCAAATGTAATTCCTTCACACATATCATATTCTCCATCCACTCCATTTTCATTGGCTAGCGGTTGCAAACTCAGTACGGATCTGTAAAGGAAGATTTTTTTTAAATGCTCAATATGAGATTGAATTTTTCAATCATGGAAAAGTACCATGAAACACTAACATTCTACTATTACTTGGATTTCGGAAGATTTCTCACAGTACCTGTTGTCTGCCTTTACCTTGCTTAGAAGAGGAAGCAAAAAGTCTTGACCCTAAAAGTTCATGGGATTGTACCAGTTGGGTTTCTTGTTCAGTGCTTCCACACAGATCCCTTGCAAAGAAGGGACTGTTGGGAGATTCTTATGAGGATTCTTACTGAATTCCCTTACAAGTCCTGCTACAATATTCCTGTTCCAATAATTCACTCCTATGACAGGTCTGCCGAAAGGGTCTTTCTTTCCAGTCACATAAAGCATTAAATTTATGGATTATTTTTGTAAAGCAACAGCTCTAATCCAGTCAGCTGCTCCTTGACTGAATACTTTATTTAGTAAACATTTCCTGACTGCCTAGTGGAACTCACACATATATCTGTGCAATGAATCAGAATGTCACTAGACCTTATTAAATAAGGTCTATTAAATAAATAAATAAAATATAGTTACAAATATTAATGAACTTACATTACCTACAGTAAAAAATAACTCATTACATGAAAGTGATACACAGCTGTCACCATAGGAAAAGCAATGGGGAGAGCATTTGGGAAAAAACAGAAAGAAGTCTCCGTAATCATAAAAAAAACAATCAAAGCAAACATCTGCTTAAAAGTTGGTGACAGTTCAGCTAAATTGTACATACAAACTCACTGCAGTTTTAAGTGGGTATTAGCTTGAAGGTGCTAATAGCATATCTATGCTGGAAGACAAATCTTTCTGAAGTTCACAAGTCTTTTTCTACATCTGTGATAGAATTTAAGTGTATTTGTTTAAATTTCTTACTTCAGAATCGCAAAAATCAAAAGAAGCCTTTTTTTAAAAAAACAAAACAAAACAAAAACCGTAATACATCACTAGACGTCACTCCGCCAAGAAAAAAATTCTGTACTGTGAGGGTAGCAATCGCTGTGTTCCAGGAGCAGCCGGACTTAGATTCCTGAAGTAACGTAGCTAATTTAAGTGTTTCAGTAAAATGGGATTTCAAAAGACTCCCAATTCAAGAATTAAATAGTATTCTGTTTAACTTCCACTAGGTGCTCTGAGAAGATCCCACCCAACAATGAAAGTACAGTATTAGTTACATTAGGTAGCAAAGGGAAACAATTTTTTTATCTTAATTGTATAGATACAGTAATCAAAATTGTATAAACATATCCCGTGACAAAAGAACAATGCAGTAAAGTACCTGTAAGATGATAATGGTATATTGAATTCATTTTCTGGTGAAGCAGCCCCTAAACACCTTCCTTCCTCAAAAATATTTAGTGGGATTGAAAAATGATTCCGTATCTATATGAAATAAAAATCCAGTGACAGACATTAGAAAAAAAAAGGAAAGAAAGTGTTTTGAGCCTAATAGAACACAGAATAAGAACTCTCTCATTGCTCATCTTACCCATTTACCATTCAAAGTCAGGTATTTCAAAGAACTGTCTCTGATACCAGCAAATCTTAAATGATTTTGTTGTGCATTTTAATGTTATATTTTAATTATGAAATTAATATACTAGCTGTAAAATTCTTTCAAGGAGAAACATAAAGCCCTGTAAAATCAAACACAAGTAAATCTGAACTATGTAATAAGTTTCCAAAGAACTTTCTCCTAAATATATAACAAATACATGAGTGTGTGGGTCAAAATCCACATGGCAGAAAAAACAAGCAAAGTCAAATATTTCTTTAAGGTTAAACCATCAATGGCTGTTATAATCTGGGGGTATATAGGTTTCTTGTTCTTTGCAAACATTATTTTTATAAGTCAGGATTAATTTAATGGCATCATTAGCTCTGGAAAAAAAATTAATTCAATTTAGGAAGGGATAAAACAGTAAATCTGGTCATTAACCAAGCCATAAGCCACTCTGGACAAATGCAGCATGTGAAATGTAACAGGGACACTATCACTACAGAGCAGTAATATCTGGACCATCCCTGTGCTTGTAAACTATATAATGTTCATCAAAAATACCATTCAATCAAAAAAGATATATGCTCAAAGGGCTCACTTGTCAGCTGACTTGGTACTAAATTTGAAATTCATGTATCAGCAGTACAGGATGGAGAAAATAAATAATCTGATAGAAGGATATCCTTGCAGAACCAGGCTAAGGTTAAGAGGTTTGACCACACAAAGCAAATAGTTCAACAAGACTGAAATTAGAGCTAGTACTAGAAAACATTACTGATTAATTATCCTGATCTAAAATCTGGTTCATTTCCATGCCCACTACCCATCTTTGTCACTTTGAAAAGCTTTTTATTTTTGAAAATCTCTTCTAAACTACCTTATAATACACAACAAAGTTATATCTTAAAGTTTTTTAAATATGCTTCTAAAAATGTTTATTTAAAGACCACAGGATCATTTTAATTCTTTAAAAATTTTAAATAATAATGACATTAAAATGCATGGGAATATAACAACCTGAAGAGGAGAACGTATAGTTATCATCTTGCTTCCTTCAACGGTATCAATTTGGCAGACAATGGACCTTTCAACACCTGATTCCTCGTGTCTCACTCTGTAAATACATCGACCCACTTTTGTCAATGGAATCTTTTCCACAGTGGAATGATTATGTGGACCTAGAATTTACAAAATGAGAAATTAAAGACTCAAAGGGAGTATAAAGATAAATTTGAAAGACAGAAACCTGCATTGAGTGGAATTTTCTGTATCGTTCCATACATTAAAAAAAATTTAAAGCAAATGAAAAAGTACAATCACCACTTTTAATATGCCAGTGTTATTAGACAAAGCCAAGATTCTGTTTTCACCACAGGAAAAAGAGTAAATGAGTCCATCACTCAAATATTTAAGTGGGTATTGCCACTGCAAATAAAACCAGTGCCTAAAGAGAAACATTTACAAGATATAATGGCTTATTAACAAGGTACAGCTCATATATACTGAGAAAACAATTCAACTAATAAATCATACGGGCAAGAACAGTTTGAAAAATAGTTTTGAAAAACTGTCAATTGTTACAATAAATCAACTTGAATTGTTGACACATATACTATTAAAAATAGCTAAATTTTATTATAGCTTTAACTGTATTTACTTTAAATTATTTTAAACAATCTTTTTTTAAAAACATTGCCCTTAAGAGTCGGTTCTTTGAACACAGGTATACATGGCCTCAGAATTATATAAAAAAATAATATTTTGGGGAGCTTACTTTTGCATTAATGTGTGAACACAAACAACAACATTTGATTGCAGTAAAATTATGAAATAAATATTATTTACTGAAGTAATTTATCATAGTAGAAAATTTATGCGTCTAGAATCCAAAGAAACACTCCTTTCATGTAATGTAGTCCCCTGATATTTATTGACCTGTACAAGATGCGGTCTTAAGCATAATGCAGCATTTGCAAAACACAGAAGATGCATGAACTTTGGAACTTACAGATCTGAATGTAAAACCTCTTGCTACTCAGAGTGGTCATTGCTGTGAACTGGTCACTCTCATTTTTAGTTCTGACAAATTCCATATTCAAGTTCTCTCCATCTCTTAAATGAAATATTTTTGCTCCAAATTCAACATTAAGGACACTAAAGGAATCACTAGGTGAGACAGTGATGGGAAGTCCTAAAGAATTTATTATTACAAATGGTGCTCGGTCTTTTTTGAAGATGTCTGAAGTTTGACTAGCTGCTTCAGCAAATGCCTAGAAAGCAAAGAATAGATACAAAACACAAATACACTGAATGAGACTTCATCAAAACAACATGTGTAAACATTAATTTAAAAAATTCTGACACTGCATAGTTAAGTGATCTTTCTTACCGTGCCCAAGTTACTTAACATTTGCATCCCGCACTTGGAGAGTGTGATGTTCAGCTGATCTTTTGAGGAGATATTTATTACTGTTTTATATTCTGGAACTTTGTAGTTTTCTTCTTCTGCATCTGATTCAACCAATGCTTTCTTAGCCTTCTTCTTCATCTGAAAGGAGATTTTTAAAGAATTCTTATCTGACCTCTCCTTCTGCAGAAGGAACTTTCACCTCAAGACTCTTTTTCTCTCCCTTTCCCACTTTCATGTACTGCCACGGTTCTCCTTTTTTAGCTCATATTTTTGTTCTCAAATAAAAACAAAAGAGGGAGAGAATAAAGAATGCAAGGGGAAAAATATATATTCCAGAAGTCAATAAAATTCCAGTAACAGTGGCTAAAGTTATGATTATTCAAAAATAAAGAACATTCACTTATATACAAATTACTAATATATCCCGTAAGTACCATGCAAAAACATTCATCTTAACATATCTAATCACTGTGTAAAGACTTTTATATAGAATTGATTTCCTATTCTTACAACACTAACCCCAAATTCAGTCTCATATGTTTCCAAACCAAATACTTATTTTCTAACTTTTAATTTGTTTGAAGGAAAAAACCACAAGTCACGTGAAATACATTTTCCAGGTCTTCAACATTCCTGAAAATTATGTATTTCCAAATGTTATATTTCAAATCTGGACAAGAAAATATGACGTTGACTCACTATATTCTACTTTTCTCCTGCATTAGGTCTTGTATCTTAAAAAATGCAATAAAAGTTAAGACAGAAAAAGAGGGGGGGAAAAAAAAGGTCTCCTTTCCTAAAATTCTAATCCTAAGATTCCTAATCCTAAGAATCCTAAGATTCCTAAGATCCTAAGATTTCCTAAGACATCTACTTTGAGACCAGAATCTAGACTTTTTTCACATGAAAGATGGAAGTGAAGCGGTAAAAACACTATTCCCACAGTGCACTTTGTACTAATCAATAACAGGTATCAGTTTTTCCAATGTGTTTCTGCTACAGATACTACTGTGGAACAACACGAGTGGTCTTCAATCTTTCCAAAATTACTGAGTTTATCATTAGCATATGACCTAACTTAGAGAAACTGATATAAAGCCACCATAATTATCTAGACTGGAATAAAATCTTCTTGCTACCTGAAACATAATATTATTTAAAATAATCTATAAGTCTGAATCCCCACCTCTATAAGAGTTGTTTTTTCATTCACTAATTGAGAAAAAAAGAATTTAAGTAACCAACAAGAAGGAACAAAATTGTTAGCTGAGTCTTAGCAATGAAAGGTGCATTTGTTTTTTCTAAGGTATTGAAAAGATCCGAGTTCAGCTTTGGAAAATATACCTTAATTTCAAGAATCCATGGTTTGAATAAATCGGTCTTCTCAACTTCTAGTGGCTCAAGCAAAGGTTCCCACACCCCAAACATTTCGTTAAAATAATGTACCTATCGAAATGCAGAAGTCAATTAGGAAATTACATACAACTGTTAAATCAATGAAAGCTCCAGAGATTTTAAGAGACTTAAAATTCCAGGTTAATTAACTAATAATTACTATAAAATAAAATATTTATAATCAAGATTGCACTTTCAGCTGCTACGGTAAGATGAAGCAAATGTGTTAGAGAAATAAATGAGGCAGCTAAGTCTCTACTATAAATACAAATAAGTGGTACAAGGTGTGTCACTTAAAATATAGTTTTGTCTTAAACTGTAGGTACTGGAAGTATAAAGCACAATAAAAAGAAAGAATCTACCTACAATAACCACTGGATTTTATGTCACTGATTTCCAAGTCTAAGCCAGCTTGGACATTTTATGTACAATATTGGTACCATAGAGTATTTTATAGAAATGATACATGAATATATTCTACTGTAATCTTAAATTAAGACTGTCAAAGAGTTTTAGCCAGTTGCTACTTCAAAATTTAATACTGAGGCAACAGGCCTTTGGAAACCTGTATGTGGTGTAAATTGTTTATCACCAATTACTACTACAATGTAGACTGTAAATTACCAACTACTGCCATTGACAGTTTGCATCTAATGCATCAGACTTTCATTTTAACTATCTTAACATCTCAGTCCTGTCCTTCTCCAACATGTGTCTGCAGGAGTAAGTCATCAAATATATGGAATGTTTTTCTTTTCTTGTCTAAATAATGAAACAGGTTTAATATCTTAAGAAACTTTTCTTTCTTCTGTAGGGTTCCTCACCTCTAGCTCCAGATGAGAACGCAGGTTGATTAGAGTACTCCAGTTTTTGACTTCTCCAAGAAATGAGGACTTGGCTAAAAGCATTGGCACAGTTCGGTGCCCAACGCCAGCTTCAAGTGTTAGAAAAACAGATTCCACATTCATTTTCAATGACTCTCCCGTGGGAACCAGTTCAGCAGTTGGATTTTTATCTTCATTTTCATTTGACTCTTCAAGAAACCACATTTTTAGATTTTTTATATCTTTCTTATTCCACAAGTCTGGAGGAATTTGACTAATCTCTTCTTCTGTTGTTTCTGCAGTTTGATAGAAGGCTGATGTAATAGTAATTACGGTGTTTATGATTATTGGTGAAACCTACAAATAAGAAGTTGGAATAATCAGTAATGAGAAGCTAGTACAAGAAACAGCCAGCTACTTTCAGACACAAAATTCTAATGAATATGCTACACTAACAAAACACTTCTGATCTCTACAGGACTCTTACATTTGAAAACTCATTCCTTTCCACAAGCAATTGTTCAACCTATTCAGATTTTCATCCCCTGCCTTTCTTCCAGATAGGAGCTTTCCAAACTACATCATCCAATGCTTCATCTGAACACTTCAAAACTTATCTCTGCATATCAGGCCATTTTATAAAACACAGGTTCCAAAACCAAAGCATTGTGACACAATTGTTAATTTTCAATTTTGTTTATTTTCACATTAAGTAGGTAGGTGACCTGATGAAGAACAGAAACAATTCCCCACTTCAGTCATTCCTGGTTTTATTTTTTAAGAAACATATCTCACAAGCAACTTTGAAGCCTTCTGAACAGTAAGTAGTAGAGAACTAAAAACTAAAACCACAATAAAAGTCTACCTACTTTTATTGTTAGAGATTTAATCGTTAGATCAGCTGTCTGTGGATCAGTACCTGACTGTTTCATTTCAAAGAAGAAGTCGCAAGGCTGTAATACCTACACAGAGTAAAAACACAGGTTAAATAGCGAAAAAAAATCTTTTAAAGATCACACACTTTTAAATACTACATATCAAAAGTACCAAAAGGAAAAGTTACCATTATTTGCTTCTTCAAAATTAAGAGTAACCTGAACACTAATAACGTCTTCAAAGAAAAAAAAATTATCAGAAGCAGCACCTCAGTCAGTCTTAATCATTAAAGATTCAAATGTCAGTTAACTCCATTCTTAAAGTAAAGTCTGCAGATGTCTTCAAATACACTGCATCTTCACGACTGTGACTATTGAGGAAAACCAGACTTTTCAGATAAGGGCAACAACAGCAACAACAGATACGGTTTTACTGAATAAAAATATCATATGAATCCCATTCATTCAGTTCCAGCTTATTTTACAAACAGTTCTTGCATACTCCCATTTGCCAAGGCTTGCCAGAAACAAATCTAAGGTACACTACATGCAAAATAGAAGTAGTTAGGCTTTACTAATACTGAATTGACTGCACAATTTACTCTCCAGTCCTCACCTAAGAAGGTAAATTTTTCAAAAGTGGTAATTTCAAACCATATTAATTTTGCAATCTTTCCTGATGTCCCTGTTCATATCTGAATCGCATGCTGGAGGCATAGAGACATGCTGAATCAGTTTTACCACACTTTTCCCAAATGAGTTTGATCTAACAGAATATTCACTCCTATTATATTATCCCCTGCTGCTCAAATTATCCTTTTTCTTCTTCTATGTTACAGCCAGGAATGAAAAACAGCATATTCTTCTTTAGATCAAGATACATGTGAGAAATGTACAGAAAGAACCTCATCACTTGTGCTACTCTAAATACAGAGACTAGGTTCCTGGGTATCTGGGGAAACCTGTTCATCAGGATGATTAATTCATCCACCACTAGTGTCCCCAGAGTTTAGGCAATATAAAATCTTCACATCATTATCTGCCTTCAGAAATCCTGTAATCTTCATATAACCTTGTATCTTACATTTTCTTTCTTGAATAAAGGCAGCCGTGGAATATCATCTCAGTCCCATTTCTCTGACTGTTTTCCCAGACTGAAATTGTATTATTTCCTGGAAACCTGGCTTCAGAGATTTCATTATGTACATGTTTTCAAAAGGGACAATTACACCGCTACCTGCAGACAACATCATCTTTTTTTGACCTCTACTACTTTCTTGAGAGTGTTCTGAATCTTTCAAGGAAGGCACTGTTTTACAAGGTCCTCTGAAGTTTTTTCCCTCATCATAGCACAAGTATCTTGTCAAATACAGGTTTTTTTCTCTGTTTTCTACAGTTCTGAGATAACAGACTCTGGCAGAAGAAGTTCCTGTAAGAGGTAAAGCTTGGTGAGAAGCCTGCTAATTCCTTTCTACAAAGCTAGCCACATTTGTGCCACATTTGCCGGCACAGAAGTCAAACAACTTTGCATTGTGTTGTAGCTAGCAGTGCAACTGCACCATTTTCTCAATGACTAGATTGTTAATAGATTAACGCAATCAAAGACTGTGTCTACCCAAGGACTAAACTGAGCTTCTATGAAAGTATCCAGTAAGAAGATGAACTGCCAGTCCTTTATGCTTATAGCTTTCATCTTTCCTACTTAGCTCCATAAAGTAAGCAGGCATTAATGCAGAGCTGAAAGACTTAATTCTTAAAAATTCATGTGTGGTCCGAGGATAAAATTAACAATTGGATATACTGCCAAATTAAATTTTTCTTCTGATACAACCATATCATTACGGAGTTAACTGAGTTATAGTCTGCTGTAGAGACAAAAGAGCTCCAAGAAGCTCCAAGAGACAATGTATTCCCACCTGGCCAGTAACTAACAAGCCTGATTCTGTTGCCAAAATATAAACAGGCATTTTTAATATAATGGATCTGTGGACCTCAGCACAAAGGAATTTCTGAACAGCATACCATATGTAATCGATTTCATAATACATACTTCCTATTCTGCCTATGACATTTTGTTATTCACTTGCATAGCTGTTTAATGCAAAGTTTCAGATTGAAAGTATTCAAAATTTACTACATTGCATTTGAAATAGTGTACACTCATTAAATTCTATTTAGTTGGCTTACACATGATATAAGAGATTATTAATATTTTAGTCCTCTGGGCTCTTAATTTTAGCTTGTCATACAAAGCAAATCTCAAAGACACAAATCAAGGTGATGCTTTTGGCATATCAGACAAAGCAGAATAACATCAAGAAAATAAGTTAGCCATAAAATTTTACTCGTAAGTCTATAATACACATTCTAATAATGAAAGCTTCAGAATTACCTTGCATTCTAGTAGTAGAAGTTACACAGTACCTTTTAAATACAAACAGGATGTTTGCAAACTCACCGTAGTAACATTCCCTTTCCTTTTTTCTGGTAGAAATGGGCACGCTTTCATTTGTATCTCTTTAACAGCAGCTGTCATGCTGTATCTTTCAGGGCTTTTTTTAATGAAGACCTCACACTGTGTTGTAACCACCAATGCAGGAGCATCACTTCTTGTTAAATCAGCCACAAACACAATCTCTGGATTTTTAACAACAATGTTCATTTCCATTGTAGATACAGGCTGTGCAGGTGCTTCAAAAATATAAATTCAATCAGATTAATTGTTCAAAGATTCAATTGTCATTATTTACATCTCTCACTACTTATGGAGAAGTTCTAAAGATTTAGTGGTAAGATCTAGCATAACTGATGTCAGAAAACCGGTAGATCTCTGCAACTGACTTACTCCTAGGCTCTTCATTGGATATACAAAACCATTAAAGCTCTAATTATTTTCAGATACAGTAAGATTCCACAAAGCTTCTTTGTCAAAATGAAAAGGACAACGGTATCACCACTGTTATTATCTCTGACACTAGCAAATATGTCAGCTTCACTAAATATGCACATTAGCCAGTATAATAGAGAGATTTTCTGCTCTCTGGGGCAGCAAAACACATTTTCCATCAGACAATAACACAGCATTTACTAATGCTTGATGTAATCATTTGCAGTACTTTTATGTAAGACTTTCCAATTTGCTTAGATTTTAATCATCTCCTAGATAATCACAGCAGGCCTAGCTGTGGTGGATATGTAGGTTAGAGAAAAACAAAAAAAAGGGCATTTGCTTTGCAGAGCTGATGTGATCTTCCCGAGGCCTGGAAGCATAAATAGCCCATTTCCTGCTCTGATGATCTCATGGACTAATTTCTGATGTCAGGTATAGGGTGCCCTGCTCTAGGAAAGCAAAATTGGTCACTCAAGCTAAAAGCCTATTTCCTGATCTAGGAAGAAACATGCATCAATGGACAAGTGACATGACAACATTTCTAGACAGCAATATCCGAGAGGCTGGACTCATATTTAAGCATAATATAATATGCTCCATCCTTCTCAGGAAGGATTAAAATTATAATGGTGGTAATCATCATTTTAAACCTTCTTGAGACTGAGAAGATAGCCAGAAACCTATAGAGTGCCACCTGTAATTGTACTTTCCCATTTTATTTTATTTTTTAATATATTTTTAAGTATTTCCTTGCTCTGGCAAGAGAAAGCTTCATTTGGAAATAAAGACCAGGGGACATGAACCTATTTCCATGATGCAAAGAAAGAAACATCAGTGGTTAAAAGAAGCTGTTCGGTACACTTAAACACAGGAAACTGAATAAAAGTAATACTATGATTTTTAACATAGCATTTAAATACCAAAATTAAACATAATTAAATACAAATTTTTAAAATATTTCCAGTAGATACCTTGCTCCTTTAAAGGTAATGACTGTTTGAGGTTTCTCTGTGCAGCAGCACTTTCTGCATTAGCCTTAAGGAATATATCTGCAACAGTAAGTAGAAACTCCATGCTTGCACAAAGGTATATCTCTTGAACAATCACATCCAGAACAGTGCCATCTCTCCCCTGCTTATAGCTTATATCCACCATAACTTTCTTTTCAAATCCATGTTTCATTTCCACCATCCTGAAAGACCATTAAGGTGGCATTTAATGAGATAATAACAAAACAGCCACAAATACTGAAAAACACTCAAGATCCTCAATCCAGTTGCAATAAACTAACAAGAGTGAATTTAAAAGTAACACAAAAAATTTTAAAATGTGTCCAATAAAACCACTAACATAAATTCCATAAAACGTCAAAACTAACTGGACTTACATACATTAGCAAAGGTGTTCAAAATTTTAACAAGTCAAACCATCACAATTCCTTGTTTACATACCAAAAGTATTACACTTCACCGAAGTTTGTTACTCTTCATGAAAAAAAAAACAATACTCTTGTCTTACTTAGTCAATGGCTTATTAAAGCTGAAAGTGTAATTTCTTTCTATATGTATTTATTAATTTTGTATTTAAAATTTGGTTTATTTCATATTTGAAGTTTGTTTCTAGCATTTATATAGGTCTCAAACATGTGGAACAAAACGCAAGACACATAAGTTTACAATAACATGTACTTTAAGAACCACCTACACCTAAACAATTGCAGTTTTAACAGAACACTAAAATGGAAACATTTGGGAGTTCTTCGTCATACAATAAACAGTAATTTATGTCAAAATACAGACCTTGGTGTAGCCTTTTGGATTGATTGTCTTTTATCATCTAATGTACAGTTTGCCAGCTTGACTGAAGCATTCATTGAACCGTCTGATAACATTTTGAGAGCAGCTGACATCAAAACTAACTTAAACTCTGCAAGCTTCAGAAGTTCATCTCTCTGATCCAAATTTGTAACCTGTTTAAATCAAATCAAAATATGCTGGTAGATTTGTTTAAAAGCAATGGAAATAATACGCAGGTGATATACAGCTTCATTCTAACTGGTAGGATTTATAATAATAATATATTAGATAAACCCACTAGTAATTCAAAGACAAAAATCAGTAACATACAGACGGAACTAAAAAAAAAGAAAAGAAAGCTTTATCCTTCTACCATCTTGCTAAAGCAAGCTTACATTAGCAAGGAGACAACATTTAGAAGAAAGCAAAACTGGTTTGTTCACTGTTTAAAAACACATAGTATATGCAAAGACACCAAAAAAGAAAGTTTTGTCGCTTATGACTATGTAGTGTAGTATTTAGCCAGACACCGGAAAACTTTTCAAAATATAAAATAACACACTATAAATTTAAAATAAAATACTATCAAACCTTTAATCAGAAAGTTTTATAAATTTAAACCAAGAAGAACAAAAATGTATTCATACTGTAATACAAATCTAAAAATCTCTCTCTACAATTTCATTTATATACATGTGCTTGTGTAACCAAAGAATAGGTTGCATCCCTCTGCATTTTTTAATTCCCAAACTGTATTTTAAACTAACATAAGTTTTCAGCACTTTTTCAGTCAGATCACAGGAGATGGCATGTGTTGTCTGCTGCCACTAGCCATTCTCTCTCCCATACTGTCTCCTGATTTAGCTTAAATAGCTCTTTATCATTTCAATCACGTTTACTACTGTTGCTAGAAATCACTTTCTTTGCTCATAAATTAAACTATTTCTGTTCAGAATTTCTAGGATTTTAGGCAACTTAAATCTGTTTCTCTCTCTTTGTAAAGAAAATTGCATTTACCTGCTTTGAATTTGGACTATACAATACTAAAGTCAGAGAGTCGAATCTGAAGTCCAGTTTTAGTGTTGTTTTTATTTTCATGGGTGAATGCAATTCCACCACAGCTGATGTCACAACAGTTACACCTTTTAGAAATTAGAAAAACAGTCAATATTAAAGAAAATTACCTGAATGCAAATAAGAAAAAAAACCCAACAAATCAAAACCAAACACCCCAAACCAGCATCCTGATTAATGACTACAAAGACAACTTCAATTTTCCTCCACATGTAAATCCATCCACACTTCGGATATGTTTATCATGCTCTAACTACTTCTGTGAAAATCACACAACATTTGAGAAAATATAATTCTCCACTTCTATATTATATGTGCATTTTTAACCACCTTAAGACTTAAATATAAAACTTCCCTTAATGTTATATGGTACTATATGCAAAAATGTTACAAAGAATACAAGTTTATTTTCATCCTCATTTGTTCACGTTACCACGTTTTTGCCACTTTTCATATCTAATAGATTCTATTCTTAATCCTAATTGATTTTTTTTTTTTTTAGTTTATTCTGAACAGTTTATGGGCAAAGATGCATAGTGAATAGGAATAACTTTTAGTGATGCCATCATTATAACAAGACAAACAGATCTAAAACTGAACAGCAACGAAACCACCAGATACAGGAAAACGAGTAACATAGCAACTTTCCAAAGCTGGGATGTTACCAAAACAAGCTGACAGACTTTCAGGTGCTCACTGCATTATAGCAAAACAGTCCCTATGTTAAAATAAGTCAAGCTATAGAACTCACTGCAGTAGCCCAGTTGCTCCTACTCATTAACATTACTGTTGGGTATAGCTTGAACCACAATGTCAAGATTAGAGGTATACTGTTAAAAACAACTGCATCTGATATCTTTTCATAAGGGCAACTCCAAAAGAAATAATAAACTGACAGTAATACCTGTCTAGACCACACGTAATTTTAGAAAACGTTACCTGCAGAGTGCTGTGAAGTACTATGCATATCACTACTATGGCTAGTCGTATCTTTTGGTTCCGGTAAAGATGTTGATGCATCAGAGCTTCCACCTATATTTTCATTTAGTGTCCTCAATATTGTTGTAATGTCTTCCTGACTGAGAATTAGCTTAAAGAAAAGATTGCTATTTAACTCATGAAGTTGATGGAACTTTTGATAACTAAAATCTAAGTTTACAAATAAACATACAAACAAAATTAATCTCATCTGATTCTCTGTTTAGGAAACTAAAGAACCATTCACATTTAGTCACAAGGTACTTTACAGTAATGTTTACTAGCTCTGTTTCAAAATCTGGCAAATTGGTTTTGCTCATACAACTGACAAGCTTGTGAAGCATTTTTTTGCTGTTAAATTTAAATGAGCATGTGCACTTACTCATACTCAGGCTTGTTATGGGTATGATTACAGCAGGTGATGGCACTGCAAATGAACAGACCAATAAATCCCAACTTTTTCCATTCCTTCTTTAAAAGATACTAACTGACAGGTCAAAGGCGGCTACAACAGCATACCCATTTCTAACTATCAACAGTAATATATAGTACGAAGTCTGACTGAAGTATCATAGGTGATAGACAGAGCTTAGATTAGAACAGAAAACTATTCACTTCCTTTTTCCCCTTGAAATCAAACCATAACCTAAGAAACTTGTATGGACAGAAAAAATGAATCCATTTTCCACATTTATTTTAACAGCTGCTTTCAGAAATGAGTGCTTACATTCATAGGCTTGAGTCTGCCAGATATTTCAATATCAGGAACTTCATTATACCATGCAGCGGCTAAATTTCGTTCAACAGCTACTTCCAGATTGAGTGGCTGCAGCAACTGCACTTCAGTTTGCAATGAACCCTGCTCATAGCACGATCTGTGAACAGAAACAAAATACTCCCAGCTTGACATACTTCACATTGTAAAAAACACAAACACATTTCTGTCTTTTCCTCATCTTTTTCAATAGTACTGTAGAACAGCCTTCATACTACCACAGTATCTCCAATTAAAGCCTTACTCCACCAACTAGACAGCTTTTCTTGTCAGGAAGGGGACACACCAGGCACACAACATACTAACTTCTTGCAAGTCAGGACTTCTTACCTGCTCTCCACTGGAAAGCAATTCCTTCTTTCTTCAGTACTACGTTTGAAAATCCTCTTTCCTCCCTTCTCTGCCTCCCAATCCCCTGCACCAAGGCCCATTGTCATACACTTTGTTACAGCTATCTGACTTGATATCATTCCTGCTATGTATAGTTGAAAATCCCATTAAAATAGCCATTTACAAATGGGTATTAAACTGTTCCACTGTAGTGAATGATGTATAAGTCTATTATTCTACACAGTATTCCCTGAACAAACACCTGCTTCTATTAAAAGATGTGTAGATTGCTATTTCTCCTAAACCATACATTTTAATTGCTTTTACAAAACCTTTATTAATTTGCTGCTAGATTTCAAGCTAATAGTGTATCCACCAACTACCAACCATTAACTATTTATTTTGATAACAATTTCTCAAAGCTCTGCAGCTGAAGTATCCCTAAAGAAGTATATGAATTTAAAAAAACAACTTGATACTACAGTACCTGTACAACTTTAGTTCACTCAATTTCACGGTCATAGAGTCAACAACAGGTGGCAGATTATACCGTGTTTTTGTTTTAGCAATAAAGAATTGGTTCTTCACCGTGATCAGACCAAGATCAGCCACCAGGACATTCGCAGACATTGCTGACTGTGGAACTATCACAACAGGTGCTTTAATGTTGATATCCAGTGCCAAACGGGAACTACGCTCCGCTAGCTCTTTTACACCTGTTGCTGCTTTCTCTGCTGCTTGAACAGTTGCCTCAGTAACAGCTTCCTTGGCAGCTTGAAAGTTATTTATAAAAGCCTAGGAAAAGAATAAAGAACTTAGGAATTTTACTACTTCAAAAACACTAAGAATCACAGCTTTTAACAGAGCAAACCATCTTGAGATACTATTTTTGCTACACAATTTTTCTCAATTCTTTAATAGGATAATCTCCCCCCAAAATAAGATAAAGCATCTGTGTGTGCATACAAATATATATATATACGTGTGTGTATATACATATTAAAAAAAATTTCCATACTAAATATTTGGCAAATCAGATGGTAACAGCAATGACCGTGTAACATGACTTGGATGATTTAAAAGACAGATTTATTTAGCAGAATGTATGGAGAAGTCATTACCTTTCATGGTTTATTACTTACATTTCAGTCTTATAAACAATGAACAGCACATATATCTAAAAGTTACCACAAGCCATTTAAAGGAAAAAATTACTAGCAATAATAGCAAAAATCATTGCTGAGCCATCCACTCCATAATAACAAACATATGGAGGAGAAAAGTAAATGCCTCAACCACCGATCCCAGTGAAGCTTTTACAACAATATATAAGAACGAGTTAATTTGCTCTAGGCAATCCTGCTTAGCAGGGGAGTTGGACTAGATGATCTCTAGAGGTCCCTTCCAACTCTGTCAAGAGTGTGTGTGTGTGTGTGTGTGTGTGTGTGTGAGAGAGAGAGAGAGAGTTCTTACACAAACAGGCACCACCCCATATGGGATGCTTTATCCCTTTCTAGCTCTGACAATGCTATCTGAATGTTAAGGAATAGTATCTGGAAAATTTAACTTACCAAAATAGATGAAACAAACTTGTTGACAAAAACTACTTGAATACACCCAACAGTTAGGTAAATACGATTGTCAACAACATCCATATTTGTATATGCAATGCCATCTGTAGCATTCACATATGATATCATTCTGAAGTTGAAGACTTCTTTTCCTGTGATGTAAAGAGCCTTAGAAAGAAAATAAAAGAGTATGTCTCTTATAACACAAAAACATAAAATAATAACAAAAACTTATGCTGGAGAAACCGAATTTCAAAATAAGATGTAGTACCTCACACTTCTACAGCATTTTTATTTCAGATATCTCAACAATAAATGAAAAACCCCCAAACAACCTTGAAAGAGCTGAAAATATTCAATTGGAATCTCAGCTTGAATAATTCTGTACAACAGAATCAGGAGCATAATAACCAGCTGGGCATCACAGTTGCACAAAATCAATGTTGGCCTAACAATCATGGGTTGTCGGGATGAAATCAGGCTGCCTATAGAGCTATAATGCTCCCAGAAAATCCATAAAACAGTTTGTGTTTTTTTTTTAAAAAGATAATGTAAGTTAAAGACTAGAGTCCAGAAAGTAATTTAGCATCTGTATTCCATTCAGAAACCAATAATACATGCAAATGCATACCTTTTTATACAATGCTGCCTCATCAGAATCCACAACAATTATGTTCTTTAATTTTGCAGTCACTTCTGTTGCTGTTTTTTTCATGATCACTTGGCTATCCAGACCTTAAAAAAAAAAAATAGAGACATACAAAATCTAGACACTATTCTAGTACAAAGTTTAATGCCTTTGTGATTAAAGTTTTGTTCCTACCTTCAATGTGAATTTCAGCTATTCTATGTTTTTTCTCTCTAATAAAGATACGTAAACAGGACAAATCCGCACAGATGTTGAGGTCGATAACATCTTCATACTTCGATTTTTTGGATGCTGTGGGAAATACAAAATAATAAAAATTACAGCTTTTCAAGGAGGAGGTGTAATATTTTAGTATCCCTTCACCAAAGCCTAGTTTATATGAAGTCTGCAGCACTGGCAAAATGCACTGCACTCATACTAGCAAGCACAACACAAACAAACTGTATATATAGGATTGTATATACACGAGTCCTCATGAGCTCCACAAACTGTGGTAGTCAACATCAGTATTTTATTAACTGCAAGAAATATATTTAATATGCATCTATACAGCAAAACGCAAAATTAGAGATAGATTATTCAAGGACTAAGCAATTTACTTCAAATAGTGGTAATATGACAGCTACATTAATACACTACCCTATCTGGTCTGTTGATTAGTCATCTGCAATCAGTGGTCTTGTTTACAAACAGCAGGTGACTTCTTATTAATTCTCCACAACCTACGCTTTCTAAACTTAAGTTTTAAGCATGAAAATACCACTCATACAACTAGACACTGAAGAGAAGGGGCAGTGGTTATCCTTCAAAATTAGTATGGGCAACCTTAAGACCTACAAAAGATAAAAGCACAAATATAGTGCCTGTCAGAAAAGAGGTGTCCAAGTATTTAGCTCATTTTTGGTTTTCTCAATAAAAACACTATTTCATGTTAACAGACATAACCTCTATTCATTTTGAGTAGACATGACTGATGCCACACAACATTATCTGCAGGTACAGTGCTAAATACAGAAGTCAACAGGACTCAACCAATAACAGTCCATTTCTTCTTAAAGTCAAACCTGAAGGAATGTCATATGCTACTTCAAACAACAAAAGGAAATAGCATATCTTGTATTCAGGGACTTCGACTCATAAGTGGTAAATTCCTGTAGCTAATCTATATACCAAGCTAAAAGCAGCAAAACTAAAAGTACTAAACATTCAATCCATTTTTTCCACAGTCTAGCTTTTGAGATGAGATGTTACCTTTATGTATTGCGTGTGAGTACATTAAGGCTTTCTCAATCCTCACAATCATACTATGGTTCCAGAAATACAACAGGTTCAGTCACATGATTTTATTGTATGTTGTTAACAGAAGACAAGCCATGGTAAATTAAACAATAACAACCCTCAATCAAAGTTTAGTTTGCACAGTGGTACGAGTTGGGGAGAAGGAGGGAGGAGAATCGCCTATGAAAGCTTTTCAGCTGTGTAAAGTCTAAATTGTTGCATGTTAATACATAGGAAACTAATTTTATCCTTTGCCTCCAAGAATTCTGGAAGATACCAATCACTTCATCACTATTCCAAGCTTATCCCAGTATAAATTAAATCAAACAACCACCAAGAATGAGAATAATCTCACACAGAAAAAAAATAATTTAAAAAATACAATTAAATTGAAGAATATTTTTTTTTTCACAAAGCAATTTTTCCACCTTTTACTTCTCAGTTCTATTATGAAATGAAGACTTACAGAACACCTTCAAAGAACAAGCTGAGGAACTAAACTTTTTAACAATCTGATGGAATAATAAAAAATTATCAGCTGAAAGACAATGGCTGTGTGACACATTAATACTCTTCTCACATCTCATCCCAACTGATGTTTTATCATTCCTCGGGCAAATATTCTCTTTCATCTTCTTCCATCTCACTCCTGAAACCAGAGGCTACAAATCTTAATTTCTCTCATTTTGATAATACCCTGTTTGGCTCCAGACATAATTACTTTTTTTTCATAATACTTTAAAAAAATTAATATAGCTGATTTCACTTAAGTACATATGGGACTATACACTAGACTTGCAAACATATTTCTGTTTAGCCAGGGAGAAATATGTTTGTAAAGGCAGCACAAATGGACATTCTCAAAAACATCTCAGCAAATATTGCAAATGTGATACTTGGGGTTTAAAGAAACCAATCTAGTACTGAAGTTTAACTTGAAACACCTGTAAGAACTAACATCAGTGAATGCAGGCAGTTTCAGAAATATGCACCAGTGGGTCGGCTAGGTCAGTCATACGAGGGAACTACTGAAATCAGTAATGCAGAGCAAGTATTATAATACTTCAATTAGAAACACCTAGAGAATTTTCCTCTACGACAGTTTTTGTGTGTTTTCTTTTTAGTTTTAGTAACTAGCTGGACCCTCAGTGTTTCATGATAAACAGCAAGCAATGATTGCAAAGATCTGAGAGAAGTCCTTCTCAGAACAGAAATCGATGTCACAGGCATAATGTTGAGCATTTAATAGACACAGGATCACAAAAGGAGGCGACCTGTTTGTTTGCTCTTGCACAACACCATCAATAAATAAGATCTGCCAAATTCTTGGCCAGGAAATTATAAAACCGCATAGCAAATAAGTTATTCACAAGAGATTGATGTTCCTCAAATATAAGGCAATAAAGTAACTGTAAGGAATCAAAAGTTTCAATTCATTCCAGGAAAAAAAAAAAAAAAAAAACATCAAACAACTGAAAAAGGCAATTTATGAGGACTGCACATGGAAAGAGATGAGATTAACCTTATTAGAGCAGAATAATTCCTTCAGGCTATTACTGTTGGATAACTGACTGGCCTGCCCCCCTTTCAGGATGCAACAGTGCTAATACTTTTGCAAACCCATGAAAGCTATGAACCCTAAATTTATACATAAAACCCAGATACCTAGAGTGTACCAGGTACCTTTGATAAACATAAGGAGGCTCACCAGACTTCTCTCAAATTGCAGGAATTCAAACTATACTTATGTGACCCCAAAAAACACAGTAATTGATATTAATGGATGCTATTACCTGCTTCTTACAACAAAAGATTGAAAACACTCAAGCCACCTTCTGCCATGCAAGAACTTCCTATTTGCTACACTTCAGGGTAAATCCAAATTCATGTGCCAGTTCATAAACCAAAAGCAGCAGTTCCAATAAATTATTCCTACAAAATTGGTCCCACATAGAATTTAGCCATTCAGCAAATTAGTAGATCCCTAGTAATCATTCTTTCGGAATGCAAGAATGAAATGCAATAGTGTATATAAAGTCATTGAGACAGGCTTAAAAGATTTGAAAATACATCAGTTTTCTTCCTTACCTAAGTGAAGAGAGAGGAATAAGGAAAAGAAGAAGAAGAAAAAAAAGGAATAAAGGAATAAAAAACTTACTTAATTTCTTAAGGACATCCTTCTTCTCCTCTGTTTTTTCATGGACTGGTTCTTCTGCAACTTTAGTTTCTTGTTTGGGTAGAAGATTATTCACATAGTTCATAGCATTCAGCAGAGCTTCAGTATGCAAATGAACATCTAGAGATGAAAAGTTCACCTGAAAGAACAAATTATTTTTATGCAATATGCCTCTCAACCCACAATGAGAAAATAGTATTAAAAAAGATAGCATACCTTTATTTTCTGCAAAATGTTCTGATAGGCAGTTTTCAGTTCTGGTCCATTAATATCAGCCTATTACACCAAAAGTGCATGTAAAACAAAGAAACAAATCAGAAAAAGTTTGCAAATTTCATTAGAGGGAATTTATTTTAAAAACTACTACAACTTATGATGTACAAGTTAATTTGTTTAAGGAGCAGACAGACTTCGCACATGACATTTAATATGTTAAGGAATGAACAAGTCAGGAAAAACCTTCAACAACTGCTCAGTAATACTATACTGTTTATGATTGGCTTACAATTCAAAAGCAAAGTCTGCTCTTTTCTTACCTTTATGTATTCTAGAGTGAGAAGATCATCTTCTACGTTATCCAAAGTGGTAATTATGTAAACTGGCTTGTCATTATCATCTTTAAAAAATGCACAAAAAAAAAAGGTGTCAGTTTTTTCTTAAAAAAGTAGTTTTCTACAAGTCTCTAATCACCTATAGACTACAAACCAGGCTACTAGCTGTCATTATTATTGAATCACAAAACCTATTCTGCAAACCTAAACCAGCTAGATGTCTCTAATAAAATCATCAGTACTAGAATATATTTATCAAAGCTTTACTAAGAGTATGAGCTCTTGAGTTACTTCCCTCCCAGCCCCTCATATAATTTAGGAAGGAAATCTTCTTCAGTTGACAAAAGAAAGCCCTACAGGCTTTTTGAAGACAAATTTACAGTGTTATTTGTCCATAATTTTTTGATCAGGCTACAAATACTTACCCATATACTCTGGGCACAGCAGACAAACTTCACGAAGGAAAGCATTTGCAGTCATGTCAAATGTTCTCAATTTAAGTTCAGTGCCTAACCCTACAATATCAAGCTGCAGCACAGGTGTCTCAGTGTTACCAGTAAGACGGCATAATTTAATTAAGACCTAAAAAAACCCAAACAAAAAAAACAAACAAAAAAAAAAGAGAAAAAAGGTAGCGGATTATCTTCTTAGTTTTTACATAAGTTTATATATTTTCATACATTTTACTGTGTAATGTGCATTGATCATTTAACTTTATACAGCAAAGACCTAGAAAAAATTAACAGTTCCAACAAGCAAAAGTGCTAGAATACTGTTTGCTGCTATTTTAACAAAAACTTCAAACATGCACACGTGTAACACCAAAGTTACACTTACATGAACTAAATTATTTTTAAAATCAACTCTCTCAAGCATTCTGTCACGTTCGACCCAGTCAAAACTAGATACTCGGTCAGCATAAAGAGTTTACTGCTTTCACTGGAATTTCTTTGAACTGTCTGGTAAGAGTTAAGATTCCCAAGCTGAATAACAGGCAAGAGGATTTCCCGCTTTTTCACCTATGCATGAGAAAGATGTTGTTAAATAAATACCTAGCTGAGCTGTTGTTATCTGTCTTTCATAACCAAAGCAAAACAATGATATGTGCTCTTCCTTTCCACATAATGCTCTCTACAAATAGGGAAAATCAAACCCAAACCAAATAAGTATTTTCAAACTATAAACCCAACAAACAGAGAGAAGGTGATTCTTAACAGACTCTCAATTGTATTTTTTTCTAATCAATGGTAAGGCAGTTTCCATTAAAGAATAATGTAAAATACAGCATCTATTTTTAGAAATAAGTTCTTAAACAAGGTCTTGTCATCGCACAAAACCCAGTGCATTTCAATTTTATTTGTTTATGTATTTTCTGTAAGGTGTAATATACAATAAGATGTGTGCAAGCTAGTTGTGAGGTGCTGAAGTCATTGTGTAAGCCTTACTTTAAAACAGGACTTGTAAAGTTAACTGAATTTGTCGGGTTCATTTGTAGTTATACAGCGAGTACCAGCAGTAGCACTGTCATAGCCATAAAGGAAACAACAGCGGTAAGAGGCCTTCTGTTTCATTAAGCCAAATGATACAATCATAAGCAGTGTCTAGCATTTGAGTAAAAACATCTTTTTTTTCCCCCCCCAAGTCTGAAACACCAAAAATAATGCATAAAATACATCACAGTGAACATGGTACAGATTTAGGTGTGAAGCCAACAGAGTCTGGGAATAACTGCAGTGGAAAAATAGGGTGCTTGTTACAAGATGAAACATTAATGAAGTTTTATCAGTGACTACCGCCATATCTGGAATAAAAAGATGTCAAAAGCTACATCTTACGCCAAAACAAAAACATAATGTGATTTGAGTGCTAGTTAGGTTAAGGAAATTCAGTGATAAAATGAGCTGGGAAATAAAGTGTATAAACACAACAAACAGGGAAAAATTACAGTTCAAATGTGCTTCAGAGAAATTAAAAAACCCAAAGTAACTATACCTCAGCTACTTCAAACCTCAGCTGGAATTCTGTCATATTTTTCAAGGATTCTTGTTTACATAGTTTTTTTCGCCTTGTACTGCCAGCTCGCTTGAGGGAATCAGATGTGGCTTCAAAAAATGGTATTTCTTCCACAGGGCTGCTTAGAGCATCATAAAATTCTTCTTCTGATTCTAAGGATTAATTCACAACCGCATTACATATACACTTTAGACAGTATTTCACAGTACTATGACCTAGAATTTTTAATCAACATCTATAAAACCTTAAGCGTATAAGTATGGGAAAATTGCCTAGCTGATAATTAGCAACCGACAAAGTCTATTTCTGTAATTATCTCCGCTCCCACCTCCACAACTTTTCAAGACACTCTATCATGTCATCATAAATCAGTTCTTGTCAACTAACTCCTTCGTCAGCATCCCCTCACTATTTGCTGTGCAAAAGATAGCACAAACCATGTCTCATTTTGCCTCGTACTAACAGCTTAACTCTTCTGCTGGTATGACTGCTGCTGACTGTACAGCAGCCTTTGCCTCACCATGAGTGGCACTCCTTTGGATCTCTCCCTGCTAAGGATCTTCCATTTCAGGAGAGACTCCTAAGGACTATCAAGCCTTTAATCCAGCTGACATTATTACAGAAGTATAACCAAGATGGTGCCATCTATTTGTCTTATAAGGCTCTTTCCCTTCGCCTAAACAGCAAAAACAGTGAAGTTAAGATAACTGTAGAAGTATCCTTTGCCTGGCAAAACCAAACGTGACATTTAGAGGTATTTGCTAGTGTTTGCAAACACTATGATTAACTTGAGAAAGAAGGTTACATTTTCTTCCTTTTCTCCAGTGGGTGTTTTGGCATAACAAAGGTGATTGACTTCAAAATAACATTGATATATTTCATTATTTTTCAAATGTGACTACTAGATGGAACATTGCAATCTAGGTAAGACAACTGAACAGCAAGACATTATTAAACATGACCAGTCTCTCCATAGCCAAACTTCTGTTTGATCTTGTAGAAGTCAAAATTATGTTTGTTTATAGCAACACAGTAGTTTCTAATAGTAATAATTTCAGTATTCTGTAATTTAAATAAATAGAGCTAAGTAGGAGATAAAAACTTCACCAGAAGAAAACAATTAAAACTGTCATCAGGAGACTAAGTACATACTGAAGCAAAAAAAGACATACATATTACCTCAGATGATCTGAATAGAGATTTGTAGTAACATATGTAGAGACAAATAAACAAACTCATCCTACCAAACAAACATTTTACTGCTTTGCCTCCAGAAAGCGAATGGCAAGATTAACCATACAGAATTTTACTGCTAGGAGAAAATACACAAATATTTTGTACAGAGTGAATTATAATAAGCTGCACGGAATGTAACACTACTCAACCTCCAAGAACTTGAAACAAAGCCATAAATGGTAACTTACTCTAAGAGAAACAAATTAATTCAATGAACTCAAAAACTTGACTTGACCTGTTTATAAAACCAGACTTTAAAATGGATCGTATTACCTGACTCAGCAAATGAATGAAGATCCAAAACAGGAAACACACCTTGGGATGTATGTGATGCTGAGAGTACAGGCGATATTGCAGCCTGAAACGGGAGATACCAAAGAATTTTTCACTTGAATTCACTGGTCATGCTATTGCTTGCACATATGCTGCATAGAAGTTTTACAAGTTAAAGAAATTGGCCATATTTTTAGTGCAAATCATTACAGTTAAACCCTTAAGTTACTAAAATTAAAAACAAGGAGAAATAAGGCATAAATCAGGTACTGCACATTCATCTAGCTAAAGAGAGAATAAATCTGAAAATACAAGAAGACATTCAAACATCCAACTTCACAGATCAAAAGATAGACAGAAACAGCACGTCATGTGAAAATTCAGAGAAAACAAAACCTAGCCCCTCACAGGACTACAGTATGGCAGCTTCAGAGAACAGCAGAAGATTAACTGTTCTTTACAAAAATCACATGATATCAGTGATGGGTGGGAAAAAAAAAGAAACCAGAGCTAGAGAAAACATTAGAATAGACAGAATTGTTTCCAGATTTCATAGAACCATAGAATCATTTAGGTTGGAAAAGACCCTTAGGATCATCAAATCCAACTGTTAACCTAACATTGCCAAGTCCACTACTAAACCATGTCACTAACTGCCGTGTCTATGTGCCTTTTAAACACCTCCAGGGATGGTGACTCAGCCACTTTCCTGAGCAGCCTGTTCCAATGCTTTCAGTGAAGAAATTTTTCCTAGTATCCAATGTAAACCTCCCCTGGCACAACTTCAGGCCATTTCCTCTTGTCCTATGGACAAGAGTGGACAACAGGACAAGAATCCTCACTCCATGTGGTATGATAGAATTAAATTCTCTTAGTGAAGGTAACCAAATAGTTTGTTCACCAAAGCCAGACCTCCCAACAAGCCTAGAAAAGGAGTCTCGGTGATTTGAGTTTATAAAGAATTCCCATCTGTACGTCCCACATATATCTTTAGTAGTGCCTTGCACAGAGTACTAAGGTAAGGAGAGATGTGTGCATTGTCTGCACACCCATTCTTCTTGTGGGCCTTTGGCCCTAGACTGCACAGATGACAGTAATTTTTGTTCAGTTTTTTTCCCCCCCTGTTACTGGCACTTTCAAAGCCCCATTTCAGACAATTATTCAATAACTCACATATCTTACAGAAATCTAAGTATTAGGGCAACAAAGAAACATTCATCTTTGAACGTTGTTTCCAAGGCTCCATTTTTCATCTCACTCTTCACATTTCAACAGTCTCTCTTCTCAGTCTCCAGCCTACATAATTTGACTTTACTGCATATATTGAAGTCTATGAGTGACAGATACACCAAGTCTCTAGCAGTCTTGTAACTGTGAAAATGTCTCATCTGTAACACTTTCACATTCTAAGAAGACATGGACAAGAAATTGTGAGACTTGACTTCACAGTACCACAATGAAGAGGACAACCTTGTTGAACTAAGATACAAGGAAGGGCAGTGTGCAAAAACCTAAAAAGACCTGCTCTGATGAGTCTTCCATTTTCACAGCCCAAGAACAACTCCTCCACTAACTCAAAATGTAGGGAACAAAGTTCACATGCAGAGCTCTGAGCAAGAATTTCACATCCTTTTTGGTTCAGAAGTGATATGATGACAACAAAGCTCAGAAGAGTATCAGTCACAAGGATGAAAGTATGGGAGTGTATCTGCCACCAACAAAGCAGGAAATCCACTGAAATTAACTGAAATTAATACCAGCAATTACAGTTTGTCAGGGTCTGCAGATTAAACCTTGAGCAGACAGGTTTAACTATAGGTTTCAATATGAATGGTGCATATAATGCAAATACAGTCACTCAGGCTTAACAGTCTTTCCTCACCTCATCTTGCCCATCACAAGTCATGTGCAGGTAATACTAACCACATCAAAGTAACTTAAAATATTTTAAGTGTAACAGTTGAATTCTATAATTAAGCTCAAGTATAGTCAATGTTATAAAGTACAGGATAATTAGCTCATATGTGCATATTTTATTTTTGCAAAACTAAATCCCATCACTTATCCTTGAAGAACGTCTGCAATTAGTTGCACAAAACAGAGACCCTTTGACCTTGAGATTTCACGTATGTTCAAATGATAGGACTACTTTAAAGAAACATAAAACATAGCCAGACTAGAGTGATGTTAAAAATTCACAATTTGGAGTTCATTTCCTAGATTTGTTTTCAAAAGGTAAAAAATACTTTTCAGGAATAATAACAATAAAACCATAATCCTCTGTCCCTAAGAAAGCATAAAACAGTGACCCAAGCCATTTTCACTAAGGAAGTAAGAAGAGAACTCACTACACACTTCTAAAACTCAGAAATGCAAGGCTGAATTGCCATCCACTTGGGTATGTTGTGTAATGGAAAAACGAAAAGCTTATAAGAGCAGTGTAGTCAGCTGAAATGAAGCTGCCACTTTTGCCAAGCCAACAGCGTTTAGTCAACATTAACCACAGATAGTGGGCTTTGTGGGATTTTGTTTGTTTTTGAAACTTAAACTCCTGTCTGAGTATGATCCACACAGTACTTTAACTGCAAAAATTCCAATCTTTTCTTCACTAAACAAAATAGCTGAACCCAAACTCTGCAGCATTCTGATACAGGTGTAAATTTGAAGGTACAGTTAAAGTAATCCTCAACAAAAGTGAATGTTTGTTAATCAAGATTAATATGAACTACAAAGTAACTCCCAGTGTAGTAAAAGTTTGGGGGTTTTTTATTTTAAATTCAACCACTGGACGACTATTCCATAATTATTAGCTAAAGATGACTAACTAAATAACAAGCAAAATTTCTACAGCTTCAGAGAATTAGTAAGTTCTTTCAAGAGGTGTTAAGTAAATCCTTTTTTTCTGCTTTCTCATGCTCCTTTCAAAACTACAATGCTAATAGCCAGAAGGTATTATTCTGATAACTACTAATGAAATATTTTTTAAAAACCTTACCTCAGGTATTTTTGGAGGAGAACTGGCAGCAGGAGCACTCTCTGGCTTAGGAATGCTATCAATTAGCTCCAAGATACTAGTCAGCTTCTGGTCTGATATTTGGATAGAAAGTAAAGGCAGCTGTCCAGACAGTTTGAACCTGTTTTGTAAACAAAGTTATCTTAAAACCATTTCATTCAAACTTTACATTAATTTTTCGTGTGTGTTTGTAACTTCTGCTGCACTCAGAAGAGTTACTTTAACAGCAAATATCCAGTTACTAATGTAATTTATATTTCCATTTGATACGCTATCTTGCGGATCAGGACTGCAAATAATACTAATAACCATTTCTAATTTGGCTGCATAAAGTATATTTTCCTCACAATCAGGAATTTTTCCCTTTTTTTTTGTATATTTAATTTAATTACATCTAATAAATCACATAACAGAGCCTTTACACAGTATTTTACAGAATAAAAGGCATTGGTGGGTAGATGCATAAGAATGTTTAGAATCCAGAACTTCAAGCAAAGATTACAAAACACTTCCTAGCAGTTATGTATATTTAAGCTGACTCTAGCAGTAGTCTAGATATTTAATAAAGGAATAAATGGCATAGCTATAAAGTACGTAAAAGAATTACTGACATTTAACAGTCTTTAAAAATGAAAGCAGTAATACAGATTTTAAGCCTGTTTGAATAGGTTTTGGCCAAAAAGAAGTAGAAGCACTTTAAATGTAGACACTGACTTTTTAAGACCTAAAATCCATTCCAGTTTCTCACAGAAGTGAGCAGAACAGAAGCAAGCAGAAGACTGGCTCCAAGAACATTATTATGCTTTTATTACAGCATCTAGTTGGAACAGATAAAGAGGTCTGTTCAATAGGCCAACCATCACCAACAATGGGCAGCAGCAGATACTTAATACATGGAGTTTACAGAACAGGATTTGCTATTTCCTCCCAGTTTTACTGTGCTTAACTCACAGCTCAATTTTCAAAGGAACATAAAATACAATATATTGGAGAACACAAAAAAAACCCCCAAAACTTTCCATCACCCTCAACTAACTTTGACACTACAAGAATAACTGCAAGAACAGCTCCTCACACCTGAGCAAGCCAACCATGGTTATACATGTTAAACTGTAAAAATAAGTACCAAGTTTTCTACAGTTTATTAATTTCTTCACATCCTTAAATTCTTAAGGAATTAATATTCAACTACTTTTGACTTATATTCTTAATTTCTTCTTCTTTTATTCCAGTTCTATCAGAAATTTAGACTGTTGCTGCTGTTATTGTTCTTTTATTTTAATGGAGATGGGCAGAGTGTATGTGTAGCTTCCAGGTCTGAAAGACTGCTTGAGATATATATATATATCTCTCTCCATATATAACCATAGAAATGAATTCATTCCTATGGTTATATAAATCTCATTTTCCCCTCCCTGGAGTTTTGGACATAAAAAGACAGATTCCTGTGAGTTGTATTTCTCTTACTCTCTCTCCATCAGAGAAAACGTAAGGAGGGAAAGAAGATGTTTTGTTAAGTCAAGCACCAAAATTCAGAATCTGGCCTCCCAGCTTTCCAGAAGGTGGCACCCTTATACTACACAATCTTTGATATGTGCTCACAATACACAGCACTTGTAAGGTACATTATTTTTAAAGGTTTTTTTCTGATTAAGCAAATCCTAGATTGTTAGTCATTTATCTTTTATATAGTGCCTCTTGCTGATTGTAATAAAAAATCTTTTGCTATAGCCTAGTTCTATTTTTATGCCATTAATTTTCTGAAGTGCCTAGGTAAAATCAAATGACATAAGCATATGTTAGCTTGCTGTAGCATAAGAATATGATTCTTATTAATGACTTAATAAACCAAACTATCTTGTAATGCATTAATGTGTTAGTTTGCAAGTAATTCAAAACTGGCCAGATTTATGTGTAGGTAATAGTTTCCTTATCAAATATTGGTGAAGATGTGCTTTCCAAAAATACATGCAAAGTTAATCTTTGCCAGTTTCATACAGTGATCTTTAACATCAAAGTTTCATCATTAATAACAACATCCATATTTTTTTTTTCTGATTGAGTACAATTTCCATAACCAATAGGCATATTTAGCAAAAAAACTAAGTGCAATCCATTAAGAGCTGCCTCCCCAAAAAGTGATCTCTAACAGGTAAACAAACAAGATGAGTAACTTAAGAGAAAGAGAGGGAGTACAACAGCACATCACTTTTCAGAATATTTTTATGTTTATAGAAGAGACTTTGTAAGTTGAGATTTTTTGCTCCTCAATACTTCCAATGAGAATTGAAATGTAGTTATTATAAAGACCCAACTAGAACAAGTATTAATATCTTTAATAAAAATCTTTACAAATATTATACATACTTATTTTATAACAATATAACATTCTATCATCTCTTCAATATCTGTCAACTCCTTGGGTTTATTCTATATTTTTCTTGGCAAAGGTATTTTACTTCCAAGTGTACATGGCCAATGTAGAATAGAACAATCATAATTAGATCCTTGTTTTTTCCCCTAAAAAAAAGTCATTTACCATAAATCTTAAAATAGGAAAAAACACATACTTGGGCATTCTTGCATCTGTAACAACCATAGCCCTACTAAATTCCACTTTGACATCCAAGGGCTGCAAGATATGTTGAGATGAACATTTCAGCTTCCGAGCATCTTGCCAGTTCTCATCTAGAAAAGCAAAGAAAACCTACACTTTAAACATTGAAAGAGATACCTTCTCATTACACATATCACAGAATTAAAGTATCTGACATCAGTTAGTATACATTGCTAAAAATTCAGGTCACACAATCTCTTTTACAGCTCTATCAATACACGTATATTATACAATAAACATAAAAGACCACTTAAGAATTTCTACCATTCACATCTAAACAGTTACACCATCCATACTTCAGAATTCTAAGGGTCCAATTCTTAACATGCGTGTTACTGGGAGTTTAGGCTCCGGATTACCCTCTGGAGTCAGAAGGGAAAGGATTAAGTGTTTAAGACTTCTCTGGTTCTGACTCTTTCTATATTGTTAGTTTCCAAACTATTTTCAATAAGGGATTCTGATCCTTTCCCTACCCTCTCAAAATGATGAAACCTACAACTACTCATAGATTCTGCTTTAAATTTGGAGGGAAGCAAGGGAAAGGCAGTGAAGTAAAATACCATAAATAAATAAATTACACAGATATTTATTATACAACAAATCAAATTAAATGTCTCCAAAAATGAGGAACTTAATTTTAAGTTTATTTAGCAAAAGCTAAGCTTGAAAATCTAAGGCCTAGAGGCATGTTTTAGAAAACTGCAATGTTCATAGGACTGAGTTTAGAACATGACTTTAAAGAAGCACATTCCAAAGATTCTCCACTACTTCAGTTAAAAATATAAAAGGCACGTAAACCACCAAAATATCTTTACTCACATAGAGAAAGATTACTTACCATGTTTGCTGTACAATAACTGTATACTGCTGAGCTGGACATCAAAACTGTCATAAGCTCTTGACATTATATCTTCAATAGTGCTTTGTCCTACTTTGAGTTCTGATAAATCAGAGCGACTTTTGCTTTTCATCTTAAAGACAGTCACAAAAAAGCGTAAAACAATTTCAAAGATATAAAATAGTTAAAGCACTAATCCTACAGATACTTGATCCTACCATGACAAAAGTTTACATTTAAAATCCTCATTATAAGGGCACAGAGTCTTACAAATATCACAGCAGAGGAGACACCAAAAATTAGTAGCCTGTACCAAAACAAAAAATGGAGAATATTAAACTCCATTTCTTCTTCAAGGAAAGAAACAAAATAAAAAATGAATTAAAATCTCTATAGATTTATACAACATATTTTTAATAGAATAATTACCTTTAAGAGGTGACTCATACCCCAAAATAAAGTCTTTGTAATCAGTAGAATAACTGTTTGGGTTTTCTAGATATATAAATATTATATTCATATTGCATTAATCACCTCAGAAACATGAAATCCATTTTTTAATCCCGGTGAATTTAGTTGTGCCATTACCCTGTTACATATTAGCCAAAGACAGTAAAAGAGAAAATGGGGTTTGGACTGTTCATCGTCAATGTTCAATGTCTTCCCTTAAATATCAGTCAACATTCCTTTGACTCAGCTTTGGGATGCCCATACTTCTTTGGAATTTCATATTTGTATGTGCCCTCTCTGCTGTTCATCTCCAATGAAATGTGTCTGTCCTCATCCTTAAATGTCAAGTAATTTTGGATCCGTATCTGCTTTATTCAGACCCAGATAATAACTGAGAGCACTGGCTGACACTCCAGAGGGCTGTGCTGCCATCCAGCGTGACCTGGACAGGCTGGAGAGCTGGGCAGAGAAGAACCTAATGAGGGTCAATAAAGGCAACCTGGGGAGGAAGAACCCCAGGCACCAATACAGGTTAGGGCTGGACCTGCTGGAAAGCACTTCTGAGAAAAAGGATCTGGGAGTCCTGGTGGATAGTAGACTAACCATGAGCCAGCAATGTGCCCTTGTCGCCACGAGTGCCAATGGGATCCTGGGCTGCATGGGGAAGAGTGGGGCCAGTAGGTCAAGGGAGGTCATTCTTCCCCTCTACTCTGCACTGGTGAGGCCACACCTGGAATACTGTGTCCAGTTCTGGGCTCCCCAGTTCAAGAGGGACAGGGAGCTACTGGAGAGAGTCCAGCGTAGGGCAATGAAGATGTGTAAGGGATTGGAGCACCTCCCTTATGAGGAAAGACTAAGAGAGCTGGGACTCTTTAGCCTGGAGAAGAGAAGGCTGAGGGCAGACCTTATTAATGCTTGCAAGTACCTAAAGGGCAGTTTGAGGGAGGATGGAGCCAGACTCTTTTTAGTGGTTCCCAGTGACAGGACGAGGGGCAACAGGCACAAGCTGGAACACGGGAAGTTCCATTCAAATATAAGGAAAAACTTCTTTCTGGTGAGGGTGCCAGAGCCCTGGAACAGGCTGCCCAGGGAGGTTGTGGAGTCCCCTTCTCTGGAGATTTTCAAGGCCTGCCTGGATGCAGTCCTGAGTGATGTGCTCTGGGCAATCCTGCTTTGGCAGGGGAGTTGGACTAGATGATCTCTACAAGGTCCCTTCCAACTCCAACAATTCTGTGATTCCATGATTCAAGATAAGGTTCATAACCGTGAAACATCTAAATACTAGTGTCTAGAATAGAGCACTTTTTTCATTGCTACTGAACTATAACTACTTTTATATTAAAAATAACTTGCAGAAAATACAGAATTGCCAAATTAATATTGCTTGTGCAAACTTAATTAAGTCTGCTTATGTATCTGCATTGATATACAGTTTTAATTTTAGCTGCCATTTTCCCCCTTGGGGCTTGACCTTATCCAGTACGTAACTGAGAGAAAGAGGCTATTTGTTTTGTATTAAACATACTCATTCAATGAATGACCCACATCCCACTTAGGCATATGTCACTCAAAGTAAATACGGAATTATTATTCATATCCTGAGAGGAATTTAATTTTTTTCTTTTGGTATTGCCCAATTCCTCCACCTTGAACAGAACCAACCAAGAGTCAAATTCGCTATGATAATTACTCATCCATTTCAGAAAAAAAAATCCCACAAACACATTTACTGGAGTCTGATTTTGAAACTTATTCTTCTATGTATTATTCTGAGGGTAATTTCCTATGGCTGGCATAGAGGAGGTGGACTGTTCTATTTTCCCCACTCCATTAGATCTTGGTGCTAGACCAAGCATCCAACAAATACACAGATTTGTTACTGAACTCTGCAATGTGCCTACAAATAACAAGAATTCAGAAGTGTTGGTAAAATTACTAGTCACTGAAGTAAGTGATCTGGTTGTAAATCCAAATAATTTTACTATCTACACAGCAGTCTTTTCCAATAATTCCACTTTCTGAAGCACCTAATACATTCTTTTTCAACAAGGCCAACTGCAGGGTCCTGCACTTGTGTTAGGGCAATCCCCAGTACCAATCAATACACGCTGGGGGATGAATGGATTGAGAGCAGCCCTGAGGAGGAGGACTTTGGGGTACTGGTAGATGAAAAGCTGGATGTGAGCTGGCAATGTGCACTCACAGCCCAGAAAGCAAACCACCTTTTTTGGGTTGCACCAAAAGAAGCATGGCCAGCAGGTCGAGGGAGGTGATTCTTGCACCTCTGCTCTGGTGAGACCCCCGCTTGGAGTACTGCATCCAGCCCCCGTGCCCCCAACATAAGGTGGACATGGACCTCTTGAAGAGAGTCCAGAAGAGGGCCACAAAGATAATCAGAGGGCTGGAGCTATGAGGAAGGGCTGAGAGTTGGGGTTGTTCAGCATGGAGAAGAGAAGGCTCCGGGGAGGCCTTACTGCAGCCTTTCAATATACAAAGGGAGCTCTCAAAAAGATGGAGAGAGACTTTTTAGCAGGGCCTGTTGTGACAGGACACAGGGTAATAGTTTTAAACAAAAAGAGGGTAGATTCAGACTATATATAAGGGAGTTGTTTTTGTTGTTTTTTTTTTTACAATGAGGATGGTAAAACACTGGCACAGGTTGCCCAGAGCAGTGGTAGACACCCCATCCCTAGAAACATTCAAGGTCAGGTTGGACAAAGCTCTGAGCAACCTGATCTTGTTGAAGACATCCCTGCTCACTGCAGGAAGTTGGAATAGACAATCTTTAAAGGTTCCTTCCAACCCAAACTGTTCTATGATTCTATCTGAAACCCACATGCTCAGAAAGTCCGTCTGTGGCAGAGACATGGAAAACTTACTTCACTTTAGCAAGACTTTAAGCTTTGAAACAAATTCTGATTAAAAAAGCAGGTAACGTAATCTAAACAGATAGTAAGTTGCAGAATCATTCTCACCTAGAGTACAAGTTAAAAAAAGTTTATTGCTTTTATACACACAAGATCATTTGTCCTGCAAGAAATTAAGTTCACCAATGACTAAGAGGATTGCTTATATGTAGAAACAGTGCTAAATTATAATTTTAAATGCATCATTAAACTACCTTTTTGACTCTTCCCTTTCATGAAGTACCTTAAACATATATCTAATTTTATGCAGGTTATTTTATAAATTGCCAGTAAGTTTACTTTTCTCATTCCAAAATAAACTGAATGACCGAAAGGTAACTGATAACAACAATAACAGTAATATTAAAAATAAGAAGACCATTTAATCATGTAAGTAAAAAGTTCACTATTTTATATTCTAAGGTAAGAAATTGTTAGACACTTTCCACATAACAATTCAAAGCATTAAGGGGACAATTAGTTTTCTAACAATTCTTTTCAGTTGAAAGAATCTACTGAGAAAAATTCAATAATTTCTGCCTTGACTGGAAAGCAGTTTAAAATAAATACATAATACATAAACTGCAAGATGAACCTTTACTTAACCATTACTACAAAATACAATCTAAGAAACTGGAAATCACAATACATACCTTCAGACTACCAAGATCCAGAAGTAGTAAATTTGATGTATGCTCATAGAATCCCTTTTGTGGAACAATGATATATGAAGCCATGAGGTTAATTTTGAGGTCCAGAACCTTTTGGGTTTCAATAACATACAACAAACCTGAAAAATAATATAATTAGTAAATATAAGTAATCCATACAGAAGCTATGGAATTAAAAGAAGCTATAAAAATAAATTCAAGTCTAACTTTAATGAGCTGTGAATGCTAGATAACTAACTTTATCTACAGGTACTGATGCTCTTCAGGTTTCTTCTGAACCAATAATTACAGGCAGTCTTTAATGAAGCACTCGGTAAATGAAATGATAGCAAACAACGCTAGTGGAGAAGTAGAGACAGCAACAACACGTCCATATAAAAAAAAAATTCATGATGAAATAAGAAAAATTGGAACGTGTATTGCAACTTGGCAATTGCTGAGTTAACCCATTGAGCTCTGTAGATTCCAAATTTAACTGTTCTTACTGAGAGTATCCAACTGCACTGGCCAAACTCCTAGTGTTGTTACTACTGAGTTACTGAAGTTTATGCTGATTCTGCTGACAAGTATCTCCATCTTGAGATGCTGAAGAACAGCAAATACCAGGTCTTATAAAAATTCTGTTTAAAAATCGTGCTCTTAGTTGGGAAATCCAGACTGTTAGAACATTTGAGATCAAATTCTGGTTTTGTGCTCATCTGAAGAGGAACAAATGGTCTTACTTCAAGTTAGCAATGAAAACTGCCTTGAGATGAATCCACAACCCATTAAATATTGATCAGGTGCAACAAGCTGATGATGAGCACAGAACTAGAGAATATGAATTATGAAGATGACAACATGACACCGCAGCATACACACATTGGTAAGAAAGCAATTAAAATTGGTCCAGCATTATCAAAGGTTGTTCTGCCACATGACAGCTAGATTAGTTAATGAAGAACTGAATAACAACCACAAGTCACAATTTGCAAGATAAAAAGATTAGGTGGGATTTTTTTTCCGATTTTCAATGCCTAACTGTATTTGGGTGACATAAAAAGTTCAAGAAAATACTTCCTTTTTTCCTTCATCTGGGATCAGAATGTAGTTGAGTCAATAAACTGAATTCTGGGAAACTAAGGTTTTTGTAATGCCTTTTAGTGGTGTTGAAAATCATAACTATTCTGGTGTATCAAGTTCCTTCACTTCTGCAGTTCACAGTTCCCCAATCTTCTACTGCTTGAAAGAAAAGTGTTAAGAATTCTTTCCTGAGTAGGACTGCAAGTCTAAACTTATTAATTATATTGATACAGTTCAAATTTTTTATTCTACCTCTGAGATTAGTGCAGTTCCCTGCAACAGAATATTCTGCAGATCAAATCTTCCCCTGATAATTTTTTAAGTCTCAGCCAAGATTTTAGAAGCAATGCTCAGCATACTTTCAGGGAATTTCATCAGGCTTCTCATCTGTGAGTGGTACAAGCTTTTAGATTATTATGGGCAACTCAGCATTCTTGTGACGGTAAGAGTCATTGGGGGTACCTCTAAAGTAGTGCTATGCTCAAATTATAATAGATGCATAACATGATTTCATATTTCCACAAGAAATAAATCATCATCAGAACCAGAATATTTGGTGGAAACGAGCAGACAACCAAGCATATTGAATTTAAGCAAATTTTATCAAAATAATCTCAGAAATGAACTGTGGTATCAATACGTTGAGCATTGCTGGAGAAGTTTCTGATAGAAAAGACAAGTATTTTCACCTATCTTTGACTGGTCTGACATCAGTCCTTCATTAAACAGCTCAGTTAGAGAAGAACTAATGAACAGAAATACAATTGATGCCTGATTTCATTCCTGATTCTAGCCTGATAAAAGCAAGCTATTAAATATATATTATGCTTGAGTTATCTGTGTATCTGTAACTTCTTTCACTTACTATCAGTGGATATTCAGATTTTTTAAATGTATGATTTAATGATTAATAGGTTACAAATTTAAACGAGGTTAAAGAAAAAAAAAAAAAAAAAAAACAAAACTTTCCTTGACTATTTTTTTCCTTTTAAAAAAAAAATTATACGTGAAATCTCCTCTTAGCATCCTCTCCCATCCACAGCCAGAGACAGGACACTGCACTGGACACACTTCAGATCTAGAAAGCTTCAGACATCCTGACTGAAACACTTTAATTCCACATACTTCAGTGTTAGTCTTAAAAGTGTTCACCATTTTCATTCATGTGTCAAAAAATAAGATCTCTAGAGATAAAAAGCTAAGATGAAATGAGAACTAGAGGAACTACTTTAATGTTGAGTAAGTGAAAGACAGATAAATATAGTTTATATAACTTGATCTGAGTCAGTTGAGATCAAAATCAACATTCACTGAGGAATAAAGAAAATGGAAAACACCTATACAAAGGCAGACAGCGTCCTGAAAAGCCACAACTCTGGAAAGGATTCAGAGGTTTCATTAGAGGACCAATATCTGTATGAAACAATTTAGGCCATTTAGATATTCAGATGAACAAAATAGAAAAGTTGGAAGTAATAAACTGTTTTTAACTCTGCATGGAGTTCAACAGAATAAATACTGAAATACTACCTTCAGGGCATGGAGCATATTTTACAAAGACAGTTGAAGTTGAAAAAGATACAGACATAAAATTAGCCAATACCTAGAAGAAAAACTTTGTAACGAGATTGAAGCATTCAACTTACTTAGGTGTTGTGTTAGAAAGCCATGACTTGGATCCATGCATGTCCATATGAAAAGATATAGTATTTTCATACTCCTAGAATCTAAATTCATCTAAGTGTGCAATCAGCACAGCATGCAGCACTTACCTGTTGATGTTTTTTCACGGAACTCTTCAAGTTTCATCAGAGTTGCTGATGTCAATTGTTCCAAATGTACATCTTTCGGAGGCCTGAAGAAATCCACTAAGCTGTTTATTGTTATCTGTTAATATAAAGCAAAAATAATATATAGCAAATTTACAATTAAGTAAGACTTTTTCAAGATTTATAACTTATTCATATATTTACTTACAGCATCATAGATTATTTCCAGTGGCTGCGATTCAATTCTAAGCCTCTGATCTGCTTTCTCATCCAAAGGATTAGTCTCAAACATTATGCTTAAGAGTGAGGTACTCTCATCTGAATAGACTGTTCGAGAAGACAGGAGACAAGGTGTGCACTTTTCTCGGGATGTGCCTGTAACCTCAAGTGATGTAACTTTTGTTTCAAATCTGTAAAGAAAGGTAAACAGCATGTTCAGATGTAATATCCATCTGGCTACAACTAGATGGTACGAGTATGAGGAATAAGGTGAAAGCAAGAAAAAAAAACCCAAACCACAACACCATCACCACATCTCTACCTCAAATATAAATAGCTTTGTCTAAAGATATAACACATATCCATGTGTTAACTGTTTCCATTTCATTACCTTTTGTGTCTATTAGCTACCTTTGAGTAAAGAAGAAAGGGGCCCAAGTTATTCACTTCATACACTTTTCATGAGGACAGGTGCCAGGGCAGGGAAGAGACATGCAAATGGGAATTCTGTAGTGTGAGCTCAGTAATTAGATAACAGAGTTTATACTCGGGAACAGAGATACAACAGAGAATGAAGGGTTTCAGTGCAGAGAAATAAAAGAAACACCACAAAAGGAGCACATTAACAGCCTTATCACTCTGAGGAAGTATTTTTTAGGTGTTGGATTTTTTTTTTTTTTCTTTTTCAGTACTCTATCCACCTCTTTAACAGCTCTCAGTTGAAGATCTCTATCTCCCAACACTCAAAGGAAAGTGTTTCACTGTAAAAATGTAACATTTTCTTCCCTTTTTCTTAGTACAATAGCACTATTAGGGCCATTTAGATGTACAAGGCAACAAACAAAAAAGCTGCAAGAAACTATTTTTTTAAAACTATGCACAAAACTCAGCAAGATCTATAGTATCTTTATATCATACATAGAGTATACTAATATGCCCCAAAGTAGAGGGGACAAGGTTTAAAACAGGAAGGCTACCCTCCCCCAGAATTTTTAAGTCATCACATTTGAAATGAAAAGAAAGTATTTCATATCGCTGCTTCTCATCACCTATTGTGAGAGCACAAAACCAAGCCAAAATTGTGAGTTTCTTCTTTCTTCTACATATCTAAAAGCTCAACTGAAACTCAAGAACTTTTCAGTCATGTTAAACGCCTACAAACAGTTACAAGATCACCTTGCTCAGACAAGCTTCTAAAGGAGTAACAGTCACTTCTCAAAGCATGAAACAAGTTAGTAATTGGATTGCTTGCATATAACAATGATAAACTGAAAAAAAAAGAAGAAAGTCTGTTTTGGCACAAAAAAAATCTGAAGATCAAGAGAACTTAATCATGGAAACAGTATCCATTCCCTTTCTCCATTAGTTGCACAATGACTCTGCTCCCAAACTGCACAAGAAACAACAGTGAAAAATGGAAGTTAAAGATAATAACAGAGACTTAAAATTCCTATCAGACATCATCAACATTTCATGAGGAGCAAAAACATTTTGATAGAGAAGTTCACCTTATTGCTTGTGCACCTGGTCGTTGGGTAAATACTGTACTCAAGCCAGTTAATGCAAATACTACCAGCTCAGGAGTTTGCTTGTTTTCCCTTAGTGATATAGACATGCTTAATAGCTTCATGGAGAACTTCATGGCTTCATACTAGATATGCAGGAAAAACAACAACAGCGGATTATAAGATATGGTAATATACATTTCATTACAGTTTATGAAGAGATGAAAACCACAAATATCAGTTTGATACTGTTTTTCTACTGCTATAAATAGCTTGTATCATAGCTGGTGTGAAAGTCATTCCCAAACAATTCCTACAAATAGGTAGCGTTAGAGTAAGAACAGACTGCACTTACAAACATACATCTTTGATGTCTCTACACCACATTTTGAGATAAAGGGCCTCTGAAACACGGCTGGAAGGCAGTCCATTGGCCTGTGCATGGTATCTCAAATAAAGATGACTCATCAGACTTTCTGAAACGTTGCTCTTCCTCACTACAGTCCTTCAATCACTTTTTTCCTTATCTATTCACCTACTTTACTTCATCTACTTCGTTCATATTTAAGAATTCAGCAAACCACTTATTGCACTTTCTTTAAAAGTTTCTGAATATTATAAGACCATACATAAAGTATTTCATAAATTAAACAACAATACACTACTTATATGATTTTATTCTAGCTTGAGTGAGGAAAATTTCATTCTGAACTTTTTCAGAATATCCAAAGTAAATTCTATAACCGCTTTCCTGAAATTACATCTAAAGGTGCTCTGTTCTGCACAAAGCCAGCATACAGTAACTTAATTAAAAAGTGTCAGAACAGTATTCAAATATAGAGACAGCTCTGCAACTAATTTTAATAGTTATTTCCTGTCATCTTTAGATTTTTATTAGTAGAGGAAGCTACCAATTTTTTGGTATTGTAGTTGATTATGACTTACTGATTTTGGAAGGGTTGGATCCACAGCTGTTTCACTGTATCCAATTGCTGCATAAAGTTTAGCCTTCTCTTCACATGTCATCAGCTCTTCAAGACCTATGACATTGCAAAAGGTTAATCAAACTCAATATAGGTATCTCAAAAATGAAAATACTGCCATACACTTTCCAGTGTTTGGTAGCTCTACAGCATACAATAGATACTGTCAACATTGTCCTGAATTAGTAAAACCCCTGAGGTTTAAAGTCTTGAGTCTCCTAAAGCATGCTTTAAATGCATTTATACCTTTATTCTGACCTACTCTGTTTCCTAGCTTGCTAAATCAAGAAGTTTGCATGTATTATTACTTTCTAGGTTTCACAACCTTTACTAGCTGCCCCGTACTTAAGTGAATCAAACTCTAACACACTGCACGATATGCCAGATTATAAAATGAATGGAAGTAAAATTGTTTACACTCCATTAACTGCTACTGTTTTCTAGCACTTTTTTCTATTCCCCAATCTTCTCTGGAGATATTCAAAACCCGACTGGACATGTTCCTGTCCAGCCTGCTTTAGGTAAACCTGCTTTGGCAGTGGGGTTGGGCTAGATGATCTCCAGAGGTCCCTTTCAACCCCTACAGTTCTGTGACACACAGTACACCATGCAGACTAAATGCAAAAACTGTGGCAGGGGAAAGCACAAATTAAGTACAGTTCAGAAAGACCTACAGAAGGAATTTTAAGATAACCCTGTAACACATAATTAACAACTTCACCAGCAAAAAAACACTATGAGAAAATGTAAATGTCAATAATTTGATAGTCCCAATATTAAACAAATCCAAAGCTCCATTGCTAGGGACCTATTATTGTAATAAGTCTTTTTTAATAATAGAAAAAAAAACCAATAAATGAACATACTTGAACCCTTTACTTCTTGTTTTTGTTCATCCTTTTTTTCACCTGACCAGCTCCATATCCAACTAAACCAGCCACCAGAATTTTCATCATCTTGTTTCACTCCTGGTCTGTAGATTTTTAATCCAGCCTTAGTTGCCTGAAATTTAAGAAATACTCAAACAAGTCATTTTCTTCATGCTTCTTTCTTCATTTCCCCTAAGAAAAGTATAGACCCAAGACATGCTCTAACCCATCAAAACATCATTAAAGAGCCACTGAAAACACGGTATGTTATTTTTTAGTATTTCTTCTAATAACTTTATCAAGTACACAGTGCATCAACAGATCAATTCTCACTTCCATAAGATCAACCACCTTTGAGTAAAAAGAACAAGCAAAAGGTAGCTGACTTTAAGACAATATGTGTTTCTTAGATAGCAGATCTTCTCTCTAGCTCCCACCACCAAAGAAATCCACAGTAAATATTACAGAACATTACAACAATGCACTTAAAAGGAATTAATTAGGAATACATATGTAATCAATTAAATAGCCAATACGGACCAATTTCAAACAACGTTTATATTTTTCATTTCAAGATTGATGTGTAAAGCAATAATAAATAAATAAATAAATAACACTACTCTTGTAATAAGAGTATTTTGAAATAGAGTATTTACTCTAAGGAATATAGAACACTATTCCTGGATCTGATACATATAGCTACAAGAGTGACCAAGCCCTCTCTTGTCCCACATTCATTATGTCAACAACTAGGGGATGTCCTGTCTGATGCCAGTGACGATTCCAATACTGAGTCCCTACAGAAAGTGCAAACCACATCCAAACTTGACCACTGAAAGCTTGGCATAAGGGATGGCAAATGACCATCAAGCGATCTAAGAGACAGAGGAGTTCTCTAAACTGGGCCACACAAACTAATTATTTTTCTTCATGACTAATATGATCTGAAAAGATACAAATACTTGCAGATAAGCCCTGAATTTAGAGACGCTCTAGTGAATGTGACACCCTAAAGTGAGTCAGGGATCCCTTCTCAGCACTCAAAAACCCAAGATGTTTCTGCAACACAATTAGAGAAAACAACTGGCTATAAATCAGAACTTCTCAGGGACTTGTCACATCTGTCCACCTACAGGCCAATGGAAGGCAGAATTTACCACAAAAACATAAAGGCTTCTGAACTGATAGTACTGGTTCACCTCAGAGAGATTATGCAGAACGTCAGCTAAACAACACAAAGCCTCAAAAAGTTTGAACAAAATACTCCAAATTCCTCTTTATAAAGGACTTCAAGTCATCAAACAGTCCAAGGAAAGAATGGACAGAATCTTAGAAGAAAGTGCTGTTAAAGTTATGAAATTAGAGTTTTCTAGGACACCAAGGAGCTGACATTGAAGGAAAATTGCCATGGAGAAAAAGAAGCGATGCTTAAAGCTATTCTGATTTAGGTCAATCATCTACAAAGTCTTCTCTAGACTAAAAGAACAAAATTTCTCAAGCTGTCTGATACAGCTGTCTTGGCTCACCAGAGCTGGTGTTTGGTACTTAGGGCACTAGTGATAAAGATTAAAAAGCCGTCTATGGTTTGGTATATAAAGTTCTTGCTACAAAGTTCCCAGAAAATGTGATGGTACTGTCTTCACAAACATGAGCTCTCGGGAGCGTGATTTCAAATTCAACTATAAGGTTTGTTTTTAAAAAAACAAAAAAGCTTAACAAACAGTAGGGTCCCTTACTGGCTTTACTCAACCCACATCTAAAGGGGGCTCCGTTACATTTCTAGTAGACTTAAGTCTGTCAGGATATCGAGTTAGTAATAGATTCGCCTCTTACAAATTCCTTGAGACTTTTTTCAGAGTTATGACCTGATACCAATAAGACAGATGGGTTCTGACAGATAGCTGGAGGTAGAACACTGTTTAGGATCACTGTGACATTTCTCATGAAAAGCACTTCAATTCAGCCAAAAAAACTGATGGGGAGGGGCATGAACACTTCTGGTTCTGTAGAAATCTGAATAACGATAATAGAAGTATCCAAATATGGGTGTACATATAAACAACTAGAAGGAAAAAAATCAAAAGTGATTTATGGATTCCTGTTTAGAGTTTTGGTTCAGAAGCACCATATCTATCACTGCAGCAATTGCTTCAAACCATACTTAACATACTCCACCAAAAAAAAAAAAACCCAAACAATTCTTTCAAGCACTGCCATAAGAAATTATCAACTTTCATGCAGTTTAATTGACAATACGTTATTTCAGATTCCAAACTTCACATTCTGCTTACTTTTAGTCACATTGACAAAGACCACTTCACGTATTTGAGAAAACCTACACAGATTTCACTTTAGTCTCCTGGAACGATGCTCAGAAACTACACTGAAAACTAAGCAGTACACTAACCTAGGAAAAGCAAGGCTAACAAATTAAGTATAACTACTCAAGTCTTATTACCTTGCCTAATTGTGATTATCTACTTAAATGTATTCCACATTTGCAAACAGTATCAAAAGGTCAACATACTAACATGGAGGTGTTCAGCCTACATAATAGGGTATGGGGACAGAAAGGAATAAACTAATAGTCTAGGCTGTTGCCATATTTTCCACAGTAGATCTTCCTCACCAAAAATGGAAAGAATTTTATCCCAGATTGGTTATTCTGAAGAAGCAGCATATGGAGCTATTTACTTTTTGCTTAATTACAAGCTGAAATTAACTGTGCCTTATAATAACAAACGTGAAATACAAGGAAAATAGAAAGACTGAGCGATGCATAATTCAATCACTAGAACTAAAATTCACATGACTAAAATCTCCACACTTTAATGTTGCAATTATTCTTAGACTCACTTAAATGATGAAACTTTACCTCAACTTCTGCTTGTTGCCTTGCTAGAGTGATGTTAAAAATATCCAAAGCCTTTTCAAATTCCTAGAAAGGAGGTGAGAAATTATTTTTGACAGTTTCATTTGGTTAGATTTCACAGCTCAGTTTTACAGGAAATGACAGTAAACAATTCTTTCAGTGCAACCCAAGTTAATTTGCTCAAGCTGAAAATTTGAAATAAACTTCAGAAAGAAAAGCACATCAGTTTTTCTTCTCTGCAGTTACTAATTTAAAATATTATCTAATATGATTGTTAACACTACTCACAGAGAAAGGTACTGATGAAGTTGCAAGTCTGAAAATTTTATTTTACCTTAATGCTGACTTAGAAAAATGCAAACATTTAAGTTTAAGAAAACAAGATGAACAATACTTAAGCCTTTAATGAAAAACAGCTAACCTCCAAAAATTTTAAGATTTCTTCACTAGGTTTTTTTGACGTTATCTTTGTTTTATACATCTCTTTATAGTTCTTCACTTGTTTCCTATGGTGCCGAATGTGTTCCCATGACCACATCTGGAGCTTAGGTTGAACATTTACTTCAAGGATACCAGAAATAACATACTTCCACCTAAAAGCGAAGACAAATGAAGCACAAATTACTTTCTTTTAGTATACTGAAAGGACACCTAGAGCTATACAGACTCCCACTAAATACGACTTCAAGTTGTGAAAGAGTGAAACCCCTTGTCTAAAATCACACTTCTGATCAGTAGAAGAACCTAAGGATTTTTATTTGGTTTTTTTTCTACAAAGTTGACAGGTCGCTCTTTTCTAAAATTAAGAAGTAACCTTGTACAAAAAGGTCCCACAAATATATATACGTATGTGTGTGTGTGTGTGTGTGTGTGTGTGTGTGTGAGAATAATAAAAAAAATTGTCAGGAATCTTCTGAAAAGAAACCAAATCTCTGCCACCTCTGTTGGAAACATTTGCCTATTTTTACATGCTAGCTACATTCTTGTAATACTACCCAACATATAATGGAGTCTCCTTCATTAAAGCTCATGATATTAAAGTTAGGATATTAAAGTGCTATCAGACTGAAGTTTCTGATAATGGTCTTTAAGACAGCAAATGCAGGCTTTAAAATATTGTGTCCTCACCTTTGGTTTGAGGTCCTCACTCAAAAATTTTTTAATACGCCTAGCTTAAGAAAAACAAACAAAAACAAAAGAGAAGACTTTGTTTCACAAGGAAATTATTCTAAACTCTTAAGAAACTTTAAGAAAATTCTAAATTATTTATTTTCTTAAGAAAGAAAAAATCCCTTGGTAATTATTTCAAATTAATAACTAACAAATTATTTTCAAAGTCTGAGGTTGCCTACCATGTCTTGGCATTGTTGTGCAGCGGAACATCAGGTCTGTACTTCCTATATGGCAGATTTCGAGTCATCATATCAATAGACTCAAGCAGCTCCATAACACTGAAGTACTAAAATAAAGTAAAATAAAAAAAACCCACAAACAAAATAAAAAAAAAAATCAAATTAGGTGTTATTGCCCGAGAACATGAATCAAGCTTTTCCTTAAGAAAATTATTTACAAAGAAAAACAAGACGAATTATTCTTGCAAACTAACTTTTTTACCACGTTACATGGAACTTCAGAAAAATAGTTTATACCTGTGGCTTATTGAATTCAACAGTAATATCCTGCAAATTTACATCTAAATCCATTTTTGGTGACGAAAAGTCAACATCCGATCGAGGATTCATAAGGAGTTTGGCTCTAGCTGAAATTGGGCGGAATACTAAAAAACAGAAGTTGATATAAAAACTCCAATTAAATAATTTAAGACTGCCAAAAACGATACATAATGCTTATCAGCTCAAGTTATTATTATTACAAGCCAGATTATTCATATAAAAATGCTAGACTTTAAAACACACAAAAACATTCAAAATAATATAATCTATACTCAATTTCCAGTCTCATTCTGGCAACATTTGTGGAACACGTATTTGTGAAACATTTTCACAAAATTTCCTATATGCGGTATTACCTGGCAAATGTTTCAATTAATAGCTCATATTTACAATAAATCTTTTTTTTTTTTTTTGCTATAGTATAAGCTATTTATAGTACAAGATAGTCTCAAACATAGCACTTACTCCACTATAATAACTCTTATTCCACAAGGACTTTTTTTTTAAGTGTAACTAATGTTTTATACTGCTCGATAAATTATACTCACAACAGTGGATAAAACCAAACATTGCACATTTCTAAATCCAAGCCCAAGTAAGCATAGAAAAAACAATATGGAATAAACCAAAAAGTATTCTGAGTAAAAATGTTTTATTTATTGTACAATTTGGCAATATCAGGCATTCAATATAGCCTTCAGAAGCCATGTTCAGTTCAATTTTTTCATCTGTTTCACCAATTGATTCAACAATGAGAATTTGCATATTACTTCAATTTGTGTAAATCATACTTTTATTAAATAAAATTCTTTTTATTTCAATGGAAATACTAAAATTTATCTAAATACCAAAGTCCATCTAAATACCAAATATTCTAAACTCACTGAAAGGTTCATACAGTGGAAACAGACATTTTTGCAAGACGAAACCACGTTTACATCAATTTATCTTTGTATCATTAGAAGGTCTGTATTTCTTTTGAAGCTTGTTTTACTTTTATCTACACATATTATGTGGTAGCATTTCTATTCATTTTCTCCCTGCATTTAGCTTCCTACATACCATTTTTCACCCTTCCTATGTGTACTATGTTTGCATTTAGATCAAATGACAGACACAGACTTTTTGCTTACTACCTTTTTATGTCTCAATCTAAAGAGTTGGTCTAAAAGAGCCAGAATTTTCATTTATCATGGAGTGTCAGCATAACATAATTCTTTAAATATCCATGTCTCTGATGGCACTTTTGAGTCTGAAAATTATAAATCCTGAGTCCTGCAATTTTGCATACAACTAGTTTGTTTGACTTCTATGTAAAGACTTAGACAACTGATGACATTTAAACTTATTTTCTTATAAAAAGAGTCAAAGCCAGGAACTGAAAATTATAAATCAGAAGAAATTCCTAAATAGTTCTCCAGCAGCCAAATAAAGAGCCATAAATGGCTTCCTGTTTCACGTAATGGTAGCAAGAAAACCCAGTAACACGCACAGTGCCCTTTTTAACTCTGGCTACAGTGAATTGAGGACTGACTTGCCACAAGACAAGCCACTTCAAAGGCCATACTGCCTTGTCAACAGTTACTAAACAATGACACATACACACGGGAAATAAAAACTATGTATCCTCCATACAATGAAAAGTAAACAATCGCCATATATGAATGGAGCCAATGCAACTTTCAGACCAAAGTAAGCAACATTCAAAGTAAAACAACTTGCAATATGGCAACACTAAAAAAACCAAAATTGCTGATGTTTCAAAGTGGTGTGATTACTGTTTCACCTCTAATAAAAAAAAATACGCTTTGCATAAGGTAAGTCACCTGAAACATATTAATCTATTACTCAACCAACCTGATTCACAAAACTTATGACACAGGTATTATTGTAAAACTTCTTAAAATAAGGAATTATCAATGGATGTGAACAATAAGGACTTATGCATGACATATCATTAGAATGATTCATAACTCAAGACTCGTACTTTAATCAAAGCCTTTTTAAAGCTACAGATATTGTATTCATTTACAGAGAGACAGTTACTCCTACAAGAGAACTAAACTGCACTCCTTACAAAGATTTTTTTCAGTAACAGCTAAAGTAGCAACCTCCAAGAGGCTTTAAAAATTAGAAGTATACACACATATACATATAAAATACCACTTACCAAAATCATAGCCTTCTGGAATCACATTGTGGCTGGCAACTCCCTGTTTTAAGTTTACCTATACAGAGAGTTAAAAATAAGGTACGTTTTTTATTTCACAATAGTTTTAAAATCTAAAATAGTAGCATTTTAATACAGGTTTCAGATAATCCCTCTGATACACAAGTGTTCATCTGTTTTAAACACAGCAGGACTTGTATTTTTGGCAAATAAAAAAAAAAAATCACTGCACAGTAAGATGACCATACCTTGTGTATAATTTTATAACTGGCAAAAGACTTTCTTTTTTTTTTTTTTAAACTTCTTTAGATGGGTATTGTTCTTCTATCATATAAAAACTATTTACTATTTTTCCATAAAAACCCCTCTTTATAACAAGACAATTCTCCAGGACATTGACATAAATGGAAGCAGAATTGAATGTGAAGTATGCTCTATGCTAGAATACTAGATACATTATCTCATGCCTTACTTACCAATGATTCCTCACAACCACGATGGTAGAACATCTCCGATTTCACATTCCAGTAAGCAAAAAGGTTATCCAGTCGTACAAGCTGAAAATACAACAGAACATATGTATTAATAGCTACAAAATTTAGAGTAATAATTTGGATTTCACACAGTCTGGATGAATAAAAATATTCAGAATGTTCATGGCAGAATACACGCTCTTATTTTAGAGCCTACACAGTTACATGTTTTCTTGATCTGACTTTCTGTGGGAGGAACTCGACTTCAGCTTGTTTAATTGACAATTCTTTCTTTAGCATACAGTTTATACCGTACCTTGTAGAACAACTTGGCAGTTTCATCGTGTAGACATGGATTCCAATTCTTATCTGAAGTCTAAATGAGAAGTAAAGAAAGTTATTCCAATATCTATAATACACTTTAATATCAGTGAAACAAACCAGCAAAAAAAGAAAGAGACAAATATCATCATAATTAAACTGCACTGAAAATAATGGGACACTATCTTCTGTTTTAAGATTATCAAGCCATTATTTTAAGTGGAAGCTTGATAAGGCTACTTCCCCCAAAAAAACATAGATGTATGTGCAGTGACTGTCAAGGCTGCACAACAGGAACCAAAAGACTCTTGAAAATTGTTTTCAGTATTGCAAACTGTTTTCCTTTACACCAGTATTATTTTTAGGCAGACTCTTTGGAAAGAGATAAACAAGGGACTAGAATTCTCTCATAATTCTGGAAGTAGCATTTTAGTGCTACAGAAACACTATGTTATACTTTTTCAAGGCCAACATGCATTTCAAGAGTGAAGTAATAAGAACCCCAAAGCTTTTGTTCACTATGCAAAATGGTTTAGGGAAAGGGGCTGTCAAAAACCTTTCAATGTGCTAGGAACAGGAACTCACAAGACAATTATTTCATTCAATAAAGTAATATTTAGTTACATATTTTCTATAAGATTAACAGTTACACTTTAAGAGCTACTGAATCAGAGCAACTCAGCAGCATCAGCACACTACTGCTGCTACTAGGTAGTCTTCCAGAAGAAAAAAAAACATATACAGTCTATGATGACTACTATTAAGAATTTAAAGTGGAGCTTGCAAATCAAAGAACTGAGCTCCATCTTGAAACAAGATGCCATTCTCTTATTTATTTTTTTCCCCTCTCCAAAAGATCAAGTAGTAACTTCCTTCCTTCGTGTTCATGGCAGCTCCAGTAAAATATTCACCGATTCTGAATAACCCCAATCCAGCAAAGTCTGATACTTGACAACCACAAAGTGCAGTAAGCGGAATAAGAATAAATTCCTCCAAAATATCCGTTTAAACACTAGGAATTTACCTTTAGTGGCACCCCACAACAATATTTATGTTGGATCTGATAAACCAAGTAGTTATCATTGTGCATTGCTCATGATTATAGGTATACTTTCATTAGACAGTCTGTTACCACACAGCACAATATTACACCAATACATAACTTAACCTTTATCAGTATACATGAACATGCTTTTTAGATGAAAAATGAAATTACCTGCAAACTCAGATTCTGAAGTGAAATCCCAAATGACAAGGGATTATTCCGATTTGTGATCTAATAGAGCAGGGAAAAAATACAAAAAAAAGGATGATGTTATGCTCTAAATTTAGATTTGGAAGTAAGTAGCCAACAACTAAAAAAATATATATAGAAAAGATCTGATAACCAAATCTTCTTTGTACCCAATCATAGGCCTATAAATATCTTTATGTTTGGTACAAGCTTTTTATCAGTTTTCACTATTTTTTTTTGAGACTATGAAATTCCCCAAAATTTACTAGGATTCTCTCAATGCGGAAAACAACTAGGAGAAAAGAAAGCAGACGGGTTCCTAATTTCATGTTACAGTGCACAACCTCTTATGCTGAGATATATAAAAGTACTTACATCATCTTCATAGCGAATATGGATGTTGGAAATTTTCACCTGAAGATTTTTAATCACCTGAGTGACTAGTTTTTCTACAAAAGTGTCTTGTTTCTCTTCTTTTACTTTATCTAAGTTAAAGGAAAAGAATTTAATATTTTGCTTGCATTAAAGTATTTTCAAAACTACACTACATAAAACAATAACCTAATAAAATTTGTATGATAGATATTTAGGTGTCGGTTACATAACTCTTAACTGTATAAAACCATGTCCTTTCAGTATAATGTATAACATCCATAGCCTCAGACTAGATGGTTTCAGCTTTATTACCTGCTGCATGAAGAATCAGGTTGCTCAAAAGTATGACTTGTACCCACTGATATCAAGGTGGCCAATACATGCTTCTTGAAAGTACAGGAAGTTGAATTTAAGATGATAGAATTTAACATGTATCAAAGAACAAATTAAACAGAATCTTTAAGTATTTCTAACTATAAAAATTCTTTGCTACTGGAAACAAAGACGAATTGTTTCTTATGAAAGAAGAGGAAAGAAAATGTCAGGCAACATGTGACACAAGCAATATTTCAGAAGTCTTATCTATATCAGATGACATGAATGCTTGAACGTTTTTATTTTCAGGATGCCTGTTCAGCAATACTGATGTCCGCTACACCTAAAAATTTGTTACTAATAGGATTTTAAGCATCAGGAGGAAAACAGGAATCTAAAATACCTGATGTGAAAAATCCAGCACCTTTCTGAATTGAAAAAAAGAAAGAAATAGCGTCACTTTCATTAGCTTTACCCACTCTTACCTCGATCAGCTATTTTCTGCTTTGCTTCTTCAATCCTTTGCAATTCCCTTTGTCTTGCTTCCAAGAGCTGCCTGGCTTCTTTTTCAGCATCATATTTTATGCCTAAATAAACAACGTAAAAAGATACAATGCAAAAAATCTTATATGTTTTGGAAGATGCTGTTTCAAAAGCAGTAATTTTCATCCTTTGTTAATAGTTCTGTATCAGTAAAAAATTAGATGACTAAATGTAAACTACTGAAAGACACCCCATAATCATTATCTAGTTGTATGTGGTAGGAGTATCTATTAGGAACAAAGCTCATAAAAACAACATCAACCCATTCCAGACACTTCCGAAATCCCACCAATCTAGATTCACTTTTTTCTCTACATTAACTTACTGGCTGTGGGCACAATAAGCAAATAAACTCCATCAAGAACTGCCTCAACAGGTTGCGTGTAAAGGTTTTGCCATGGAATCTGTAGGTTAAGTTGACCTACAAGCACAGAAAAGTTGAAGTATACAGTTAAATAGTTGACTGGAAAAATAAGACTTTAGAAAGATAATCAACATTAACTACAAAGTCTCTGGACAATTATTATATTGGACAGAAGAAACAGTGCATCTGAGGCACATGTCCTTTGGGATATGTGTTTACACAGCACACAGATGAACACGAGGCAAGTTTTTCCATTAGCAGAACTATTAAGTCTTCAGTCTTCTCCTTACTCCCTTGAATTACATTACTTCTTCCTAACAGCAACCATCTGTCCTTGCAAATTCACTGCAGCATCCTCATAAACAAGAAAAGCCTGGGCAGCTCACACATGATCAGGCAGCTAAGTACTCCCAAATGCAGAATTTTTAAAATATGTGTTCTGTGGATGAGCATCTTTAAGTAGTGAGCATGTTTTGCGAACATGGGGATCCTGATGTTACAGCATCTCTCATTCTTCACACAAGTGCCAACTTTAATAAACAATTAAATCAGTCATAGGAAAATATACATACTTCCAGGGTGGACTTAAGGGAAATACAATAGCTTTAGATTTAGTTTCCTTTAAGAAACCACTAACTTTTATAAGAAAATCAACTTGCAATGAGAAAATTTTTCATATTATCAAAAACAGGGAAGGAGGACAGAAAGGGAAGGGGAAGGCCAAATCAATTGCAGAGTCTTGCTAAAACAAGGGTTGAGATCCCGTCCTGTTCAGTTGCTCGTCTTTGCTGTGTTGGGTTCTTGTCTCATTAATAGTGGAGTGATTAGACAATACTCCTGTAACATCTCAGCTTAAGAAAAGAAGCTTCTTCTAATGTTAGAAGAGACAAACATCAGAGTGTACAAAGCATGCACATCAAGGAAACTAGGAAAATCACTTGCTTAGGATGCCTAGAACCACTTGCAAGTTCAGTAACTCCTGCATGGGTGTATGGGAAAAAGTAACTTACCAATATGTCCTGCCTTAACTTTAAATGGCACATCCAGCTGACTCTGAAAGAAAACATTTTAGAACAATTAAGCTCATTTCAGCTACTTGTGAAATGTTCCCGTTCAGGGAAATTTATATTGCGACCACTGAACAAAGCCCATTCAATATAATGGAACAAGCAAGCGTTTGGTTACTGATTTAGAATGTTAAGCCATGCTAGGCTACATGCATTCCCAAGAGCAGGTTTCTAGCTTCATGAGCTACAGAAAGAAAAGGTCTTTTGAGCATTGCTTTCGACAAAAACACATTCTTTCAGCAATTGCTGAGAGTTTTGCTTTTGAAAAGAAAACACAACTAAATGAACCCAGCACACACCTTCACCCTTAAATTTAATCTCAAATTAGACAAGTCACACAAGTGCAGAGAAAACAAAACAGTAAGTTTCCACTTAAAAGATCATGTATCCTAAAAGATAAAAAAGAAAAAGCAAGTACAACCCCAAATATTGTTCAAGAATCATTTTTGCCACAGTTTTATTTTTATTTTCACTAACTTACCAGTGCATTTTCTTTTATTTCAAGATTCTTTAGTGCTACGGCTCCTAAAAGCAGAGAAGCAGAAAATTAAAACTACAATAAGTGAAGTAGTAGCGGTACATGCTAAACTTCCAAAGTTTGAGTCAGTGGTCCCTGGCCTGTGGTTCTTCAACTCTTTAACATGGAAGACATCCACAGCATATACCTCAAATATCAATGAAAGGTGATTATAAACACACTTACTTCATGCTACAAAATAATAACTGAGATTTTCTTATGCATGTCCATGAAAGAGAACCTAAGATTCCACAAAGTAAAAATGTTGGAAACTACTGTCACTTTTTGTAAGGACGCATTCTGAAATTAAAAGTTTGCTTCTTTTTCCTCAACCATCTGCTTCCTATGCTTGTGAAGATCTAGCAACATTAAATTTGGTGCGAATTTTTAGCCCCCAAAAGATCTTACAGTTGCAAGTTATTTTTATAAGCTTACAAAAGATCAAAGGAAGCATTTCAGTAAATGTAAATTTTAAATGTTTTAGACAACAATAAATTCAGTATTTATTGAATGTAAATAAATTCAATTTATTTACATAATAAACTGTAAACACAGAAAATTTTAATTGCAAGATCTGTTTTTACAACATACTGGACATCAGACACTTGCCATAACAAAGAACTGTTGGAATGGACCAGGAAACTTATAAGCTTCATATAGTCTGAAGCAACTTCAGATTTTGGCAAATTCTATAAGGATGGAATGAACACCTACAACGGTTACCTTCAAATTACCTGCATAGTGTTAACACATGCACATGGAACAGACACCTGATACAGCTGAGCAGGGGCATAAATGAGATTCATGAAACCAGAAGCAGATTACAGGCCTGGCAAGGAATACAACTTGAGATTGCAAATGAAGATTTGATTGACCCAATAATGTTTTCCTTTTTCGGGCTGCAAATTAGAAATGGCCAAATATATGGGGAGACAGGAGCTCCAACAGTTTATTTCTGAACATGAATGCATATATGGGTATTTCTTGCAGTTATACAAAGTTCTGATGTAACTGGACTACTGTTCAAAATACCGCCAGTTTTGGGAAACTGGACCCTAATCTCAAAAATGCATTCATTAGAACAAGTTGGCTTGAGTTGAACTGATGTGGAAGAGCTGATCAGGAAAATTAATCTATGCATCTTTTAGTACTCAGAAAATACTATAAATTTTTTAAATTATTTATTTAATTTATTCAGGGCAACAATCTATTATCATTTTCCAGTAGAATTCTATACATCTGGCACGTGCAATCATCAGCCACTCTAGAGAAATACTATGTGCTGAAGGATGTTTATTGAGAGCTGATGGTTCTGCTTTTAAGCCTTACAATACACACATATTGACAGGAACATTAGAAAATTTAAAAAAAAAAAATAATCAAAGAAAGCATTCCCACTGGGAGTCTGTAACTACTCTAGTAATTAGAACCAGTCTACATAGTCTTCGTAGGTAATCACAGAATTGTTGGAGTTGGAAGGGACTTCTAGAGAGCATCTAGTCCAACTCCCCTGCTAAAGCAGGATTGCCCAGAGCACATCACTCAGGACTGCATCAAAGTGGGTCTTGAAAATCTCCAGAGAAGGGGACTCCACAACCTCCCTGGGCAGCCTGTTCCAGGGCTCTGTCACCCTCACCAGAAAGAAGTTCTTCCTCATACCTGAATGGAACTTCCCATGTTCCAGCTTGTGCCCGTTGCCCCTCGTCCTGTCACTGGGAACCACTAAAAAGAGTCCGGCTCCATCCTCCCTCAAACCGCCTTTTAGATATTTGTAAGCATAGATAAAGTATGCCCTCAGCCTTCTCTTCTCCAGGCTAAAGAGTCCCAGCTCTCTCATTTTTCCTCATAAGGGAGGTGCTCCAATCCCTTAAACATCTTCATTGCCCTACACTGGACTCTCTCCAGTAGTCCCCCATCTCTCTTGAACCGGGGAGCCAAGAACTGGAGGCAGTATTCCAGGTGTGGCCTCACCAGTGCAGAGTAGAGGGGAAGAATGACCTCCCTTGACCTACTGGCCACACTCTTCCCTAGGCAGCCCAGGATTCCATTGGCCCTCCTGGTGACAAGGGCACATTGCTGGCTCGTGGTTAGTTTACTATCCACTGGGACCTCCAGATCCTTTTTCTCAGAAGTGCTTCCCGGCAAGTCCACCCCTAACCTGTATTGGTGCCCAGGGTTCTTCCTCTCCAGGTGCAGGACGCTACAGTTGCCTTTATTGAACCTCATTAGGTTCTTCTCTGCCCAGCTCTCCAGCCTGTCCAGGTCATGCTGGATGGCAGCACAGCCCTCTGGAGTGTTGGCCAGCCCTTCCAGTTTGATATCATCAGCAAACTTGCTGAGGATACACTCTGTCCCCTCATCCAGGTCATTGATGAATATGTTGAACAGGACTGGGCCGAGTATTGACCCCTGGGGGATACCACTGGTTACAGGCCTCCAACTCGACCCTGCTCCATTAATGACAACCCTCTGAGTCCTGTCACAAAACCAGCTCTCAATCCATCTCACTGCCCCCTCATCTAGCCCACACTTTCTCAGCTTCTTTATGAGGATGTTGTGGGAGACAGTGTCAAAAGCTTTGCTGAAGTCAAGGTAGATGACATCTGCTGCTCTCCCCTCATCCAGCCATCTAGTTATAATATCACAGAAGGCTATGAGATTTACCCTTGGTAAATCCATTTTGACCGCTTCCAATAACTTTCTGATCTTCAACATGTTTGGAGATCACATCCGGAATGAACCACTCCATTAACTTCCCAGGGACAGGGGTGAGACTAAGTGGCCTGTAGTTTCCTGGGTCCTCCATCTTGCCCTTTTTGAAGACTGGAGTGATATTTGGCTTCCTCCAGTCCTCAGGTACTTCTCCTGTTCTCCATGACCTTTCAAAGATTAGATAGAGTGGCCCAGCAGTAACATCCAGTTCTCTCAGCACTCGCATCAGGGCCCATGGACTTACGGATGTCCAGTTTGGCCAAGTGTTCTCTAACCCAGGCCTCCCCAACAGAGGGAAAGTCTTCCTCTCTCCAGACCTTCCCCCTTGTGTCGAGGTCTGGGATTCATGAGGGACAGCTTTAGTAGTGAAGATCAAAGCAAAGAAGGCATTTAGTAACTCCGCCTTCTCTGTGTCTTCCACCACCAAGACACCCACCTCATTCATCACTGGGCCTACATTTTCCCTAGCCTTCCTTTTTCTATTGATATACTGAAAGAACCTCTTCTTATCTTTAACTGTAGTGGCCAAGCTGAGTTCTGCTTGAGATTTTGCCCCTGCATAGCTTTGCCACACCTTTATATTCCTCATGAATTGCCAACCCCCTTTTCCAAAGACCATAAACTTTCCTTCTATTCCTGAGGTCCAGCCAAAGCTCTCTATTTAGCCAGGCTGGTCTTCTTCCCCATCGGTTCATTTTTCAGGACCTGGGGATGGCCTTCTCCTGTGCTTCTGAGAGTTCCTCCTTGAAGCATGAGCAGCCTTCCTGAGCACCAGCATCCTTCAGGACTGTCTCCCAAGGGACACTCTCAACCATGCTCTGCCCTTTGGAAGTCCAAGGTGGCAGTTCCATTGGCTCCCTGCCTTGCTTCTCCAAGAACTGAAAACTCGATAATTTCATTATCACTCTGCCCAAGATGACCTCCAACCTTTACATCCCCCACAAGACTTTCTCTGTTAACAAGCAGCAGGTCCAGAAGGGCACTTTCGCTGGTCAGCTGTGTTATGAAGTTGTCTTCCACCACTCCAGGAACCTCCAGGACTGTTCCCTCTCTGCTGCGTTACATTTCCAGCAGACATTGGGGAAGTTGAAGTCCCCCACGAGAACAAGGGAGAGCAATGGCGAGATCTCTGCCAGCTTTTTATAGAATATTTCATCAACCTCTAGATCTTGGTTGGGGGGGTCTATAGCAGACTCCCACGATGGTGCCTGCCTTACTGGCCTTCCCCTTGATTCTTACCCATAAACACTCAACACTGTCATTCACATTGTTGAGTTCTAGGCAATCAAATCTCTGTCCCTAACATAGAGGGCCACCCCCCCGCCTCTCCTTCCATGCCTGACCCTTCTGAAAAGCCGGCAGCCATCAATCACAGCACTCCACTTGTGATAGTCTTCCTACCACATTTCTGTGACGGCAACTATATCGTAGTTTTCCTGCTATATGATGGCCTCCAGCTCCTCCTGTTTGCTGCCCATGCTGTGTGCATTCATATAGATGCACCTCACCTGGGCTAATTGTCCTGCCACTGTTTGGGGGGGACAAGCCCTAATTCCCACCTGACTATGCTGAGACCCTTCTGTAGTCACCAACCTATCGTTACCCCTCATGTCTTTGCTACCACATGGATCACCATCGCCTGTCTCCACTGAGATGATGGACTGCAAGACCTTGCTAGTACCTTTACCCACAAGCACTGGCATGCTGCTCCCAGGACCCATTTTAGTAAACCCGGTTTCATCCCCATCCCCCTTCAAACCTAGTTTAAAGCCCTTTTAATGAGCTCTGCTCATTTTTGTCTCAGGACCCTTCCCCCCCTTTGGGTTAGGTTTTCCCCACCTGTTGCCAGCAGGCCTGATGTCCTGCAGATCAACCCACGATCAAAGAAACCAAAGTCCTGCCAGTTGCACTAGTCTCAGAGCTAGGAGTTCATCTGCTGGCTCTTCCTGTTTATCTCCTCATCAATTCCTGCTACTGGTGGGATAGAGGAGAACACTATTTGTGCTCCTGATCCCTTAACCAGCCATCCCAGGATGAACAAGGGAACAAGGTGAAAGTTTTTATGTACCATTGTGTTGATTTCTACTCTAAATTTATTCTCTCATAAAGCTGACCCTCCACTGACCATTTTAACACTCACTAGAGAAAGTTTCATTGTATCAGAGACACTAAAAAAAAAAAAAAAAAAAAGAGAGAGCATTTACTTCTCCAAGAAGATATCACAAATTGTAACTGTATTCATGGCGAGTAACTCTAATGGTATCGAGAGCAAACATTCAGGTTTGTAAGCAAGCTACCATACATGACATGCAATTTTTGCACATGGGTTGAGCCACGGCAAAAATGTTCACAGGCAAAATCTCTAGGACTACCTGACACACGAAGTAGTTTAACTGGGTTTAGTTTCTTCACTTTCACTTTCAGCTAAGCAAACATTACTTCTCATTTATCAAGGATTTGGCATATGCCACATTTCAGCTGAGGAACAATAACTTAAGCCGCAATAATTTGGCAGCCCTAATGCTTCTAAAAACAAGGTACTGCAAAGCAAGCAAGGATTTTTATCTCAAGCACTTACATGTAGTATTTCATGATGGAGAACTATAGCTCGTTTTAGCTGAGCACATTACAATGGCAGAGAACAAACATGGAATCGATACTGTTTCAAAAAAGGAGGCTTTGACAATTCTACATGAAAAGTTGGGATTGGGGTAAATAATTCCTCACCATTTTTTCTATACCTATGATTCTACAATTAGTAAGTTTAAAGGCTTTAGTTATAATCATTAAAAGAGATAGAAATTAGGAAAACTTCAATCAATTCAATTTTAGTATAAAACTACGATACACATTCACCAAAATATGACTTTACTTACAAAAACCTTGATTGAGGGTCTGACCACAGCAAATGGACTACCAAAGTATGGAAAAGGCTACTACTGAAGTACTATGTTTTGTATATTTATGCAACCTCTCTTTTTTCTTGAGAGAGAGTACAGGAAAGAGATTGACTAAACATTCCTGCAAGTACACATGAACTATTTTCAAATTTACCACACTTCAGCTGGCTACCAATTCTAACACTTACAATTCAAAATACAGTAATGTCAGTGTTCTCTTTCATTGCCAAAGTTTAGTCACACTATCACACTCGTTTCACTTAATGAAACAATGAAACATAGCTCCAAGTGCAATTCACTGAATTCTGACTCTTCTGCTAGGGGAAAAAAAAAAAAAAAAAAAAGGAAAAAAACCCTTCACAAACAGAAGGAGGAAAATCAGGGAACAGAGGCCTGACACAGGACATAACACAGCTACTGAATTTTATGACTTGGAGCAAAATCAATGGATTTTAATTGCAAGAATTCCAAAAATACATCAAGATTTGGTTGGTTGTTGGGCTTTCCTCCCTGTTGGGGGCAACTGCGTGTTTCTTTGTTTTGATGACAGAAGTGCATCCAGATAAAACCCCATTTGATGGCTTAAAAATTATCCAAATAAGCAACCCCGAACACCAACTACAAGTAGTTGGAATAGTATAAACATCCAGGGTTAAACATGCAGGCTAACAGCCAAAACAATAATAGAAGCCAGAACACTTATAAATACCTATACCACAGTCTAGGACTTATTTGGAATATATTATAAAGCAAATTCTTAGCTTTGCTGATCTCTGGATATTGTAAATAATTCAACAAAATCAAACATTTGTCAAAATTCTGGAACAAACAGGTTTATAGTTTTAATTTTAGATACTCAAAATAACTTCATGAATTTGAGTGCATGAACCAATATCTACTACCAAGGACTTAGCTCACAAAAAGAGATCTAGAAAATAAGGTAACTCTCAGTAACTTATGTTTCACCAAAGAGGTCTAACTGAAATTTTGTTATAGATGTCAACAGAAGTTTAAGAGGGGGAAGAAAATTAATCCACATAAGAATTCTGCAGATTTAATTTATGTATTAATCATACCTCTGCTGTCCTTGTAAATAAGAACAGGGGGCAGGAAGGTCAGATGAAAGAAAGAGAGATGAAAGATAATAGGCATCAGAAACCAGAAAGACCTCAGCTGGTATCTGACCAGTATCCAACACCCCTGGTCACATATTTTAACAGATTTTCTGTTTTTTAGCAACAGCATTGTCAGCTTGCAAACCCGTTTGATCACTTTATACAAACTGCTGCCTTTGCCAGTCATTTCCCATTTGCATTTGTGCTGTTAATTATTCCTGTTTAAGCATACCTTCTGGAGACAAACTGTAAGCCTTTGAGGATCCGAGTGTCTGCCAAATACCTCCTTCTATTGACGTCTACTGCAAAATAGGTCATGAAAGGCAACAGAAACTACTAGGTATTTGTCATCCCTCAGTCTATTCTAATTACTAATATATAAGAGGGGGATTGCACCTGCTATGCCTAGACAAAGCAAGGTATGCAAAAGTAGTCATCTTTTATTATAGTAACAGGTATAGCTGGAAAGAAAAAGAAAAAAAAGTAAAAATTGCTTGTGCACTCACAAACTTGTGTCAATTATCTGCCTATATCATCTACCATAGCTGCCCCAAAAAGAGACACCAGCTATTCAAATAACAAGTGATGTGAAGTGAGATACATTTGAGACATTACCTAATAAGTAGGTGTGCCCAACACACCAGAGAATTAAGTACTTTAAAGGGCAGTACAGAGGCTCTGAATTAAGTTATTTAGATCCAGTCAAAAGAAAACAGGGACAACATGGACTTCGGTTCAGTCTCTGATAGTGTTTGGAAACTTCACTTCCTCTTGAAGATAATTGTCAACATCTTACATTGCTTCAATCATCTCTTCAGGGTCCAGAGCATTTGAAAATATCTAACTTACCTAAATACTTATCTAACCTGTTTATCTAAGCCAAATACTTATACATTTGTTAACGCAGCTCATTGAAACTACCTTTGTAAGTGAAGACCAGAACAAGAAGAGGTTTAAAACACTGTTCTTCCCAGCATCAGCCATCCAATAGCCTTCCTTGATAGCTGCCTAACACAGTAGCTTTTTATTCTGCTTCATACCAACGCAGTTCTTAAGGGATATGACTTCTTTCCCTGTTACAACCCTTCTTGTTTCCAATATGGGCCTTACATGTTCAAATTACCTTTTTTACTTATATAGGTTGTCATACACTCTCCTTCCTGCATTACCTTTTATGTTTTAGGTCATTCAGTTCTTGCAGCGCTCTCAGCCACGAGTCTGTTTCCAGACATCACACTTTTCTTTAGTACTGAGTCAGTCTGCATTTTTACCCTTCAATATGAGGGGCTTTTTAACAAGGAAACAAAAAAAATTTAAACATTTCTGTGGTTATCACTGTGTTCATGTATGTCGTTTAGAGCAGCATCACCATGCAACTTTACTACACAGATTGAATCTGGATAGCTTTAAAATGGCATGCTGAATTCCCTCATGCAAACTGAAATGAATGTTAAGCCTGTATTAAACAGTCATTAATAAAAGCTCCCAAACTTACAGAAGCTGAAACTATATAAAGTTAGTTTTTATACATAGATCCAGAGTCCACAACAGGTCGCCAGTCTTAATCTAAAAAGGTTAGCTATAAAACATCACAAGGACTTAACTTGTTCCCTACAGCATCTAAAAAATCTCCCTTGGGTATTTAGTCATTCAGAGGTGAGGAAATATATTCCCTTTAAAATTTAAGATAAAGATATATAGCACCTGTGCAGTGCTATAGCACCTAAAAAACACAGGCTGTTTCAGGCAGAAAAACTTTCCTTTTAATCACTACTTTGAATAGATTTAGAACAAATTCATTTCAAGGCTACATGGTCTATGTAAAATTTAGCAAGCTTATCATGTCAAATAGAGACAAACACTGTATGAAAACGCACAGCTGTAATGGAAACACTTTCAGAGCATGCAAACAAGCATGAAATACTACTAAGTTTACATAAAATATGAAGACAAAAAACAGTACTATTTCATAAAAAAAAATTTAATTACAAAATTTCAGTAATTAAGAAGCCAATAAAATTATCAGTAGACTTCAGATATACTGTGAGTGTAGGGAACTACTAATCAATGAAACCTCCATATAAAGACAGTTATTACTACTAGTAGTTACTGCCTTTTAGATAGAGGAATGCAATTTATGGTCCTCCAAGGTACTTGTAATGAAAGAAGTCTTGCTGATGTGCATGCCATTAAACAGTTTAAGTTACAAATGCAGGTGAAATCATCATGCAGTAGACCAGGAAAAAATAAACCTCTACAGGTGATGCTTCAACAATGCTACACAGCAGCTCTGGGCATCTCAGAGCAAGATGCAGCTTCATATATCAATTTGCACACTAAGGAAGTAAACAGACTATGTAGAGAAAAGCTACGGTTAAGCAGAATTTAATGTAAAGAAAAAATACACTGAAGTCTCAATAATAGTAAAACTAATTGAAGAGGAAATACCAGAAAAATCCTGAAATCAAGTTCCACATACATCGAAAAAATAATGTAGCAGCTAAATATCAAAACTCTAAAGTAAAAATTAGTGAGGTTTGTTTTGTTTGGGTTTTTTTTTGAAGTGGGAGAGCTAACACGCATCTACTGTGGTAAGAGTTGCCTCATGAAAGCTGCAAGAGTAACCATCAGCAACCTACAGAGCTTTTACCTTTTTGTAATGTATAAACATTGTGCAAAACATTTACAGAATGTTCCATATTTTACATTAAATATTTCACTTGCCTTCCCTGAACAGAAAGAAGAAACTATGATAACTGAAGAACTTGCTAAGTACACAAATCGATTAGTTTGACATGCTTTTGCTGGAAGATGCAGTAATTTCCAAATAGGACACACATTATCTGTAATAAATATGATATATTGGGCCATACTGATACAGATCAAGGACCAGTACTTTCTCTCCAGCCATCACACATACTGTTGCAGTGTTAAGACTTCACACCTGCAGATGCACGAACACGCACATAAACACAACCTGCACCTCTGTGTTTGCTTTTGCTGATGCTGCAGACATCTGGAACGCACACTCAACACCAAGCCAGGAGCGGTCACTGCACACGCATCTGTTAATTGTGCGTGTCTCACTCTTCTTACGCTCCCTTACTTTGCCCAGACATACCAGAGAGACACCCTTGTTGCTGTTTCCTCGTACACGCGTCACTAAAGGCAGGTCAACAGAGCGCATTCAGAGCACCTTCGTCCCTGCAGAACTGGCATGCTTATTTACTTCTGCAAATTATTGCTTACTTCGCATAGCACAGGTGGTCACGGCCTCTGCAAACACCTGTGACAGTCTCTATTCCTGATTCCTTAAGGCACAAATACCCTAGACCTTCAGATGACAGCACCTAGAAGGCAGGGCACCTCGCTGCTGTTGGCAGAGAGGCCAGTCACTCCCACCGGCACACCGCCGACACCGAAACGCCCTCAAAACCCCAGGCGCTTATTTTCAGTTTCACATTCGGGGGCGGGGAAGAAGCCGGTAAACCCGCTCGCTGCCGCTCGCACTCCCGGCCGGGCCAGGCTGCCGGCTC